AGAGGTGAAAGGTGCCAGGGCACCCAAACCACCTTCTGCTTGACTTCGCGCAGGAGGACTGTGGAGGATAAGGGACACAAGGGCTTAGGGTTTTGGGGAAATTTCATGCTTGGGAAAGTTCAGGGTTCAGGGCTTTTTGGGAAGTACTGAAAGCTTCGGGCGTAGGATTCAGGATTCAGGGAAGCTTGGGGACGAGAGGTGGCGAAAATAAAACTCGGGGAGTGGAAGGCCTCTAGAGAACTCAGGGAAGGAGGGGCTTGGGACTCGGGGTTTAGGGTTTAGGGTTAGGGGGTCTAGGGTTTGGGGTTAGGGGGTTTAGGGTTTCAGGGGTTAGGTCAACACAAAACTTCGGCCTTAACCTTAAGACCTAGTCGTTAAACCTTAAACTTCCAACCCTGTCGCCTAACCCTACATTTCGAAGGCTAGGCAGAGGCACGCCCATCGCGAAGATGGACAAAAAACCCCCTACCCCCCCCCCCCCCTCCACAAGCCCAACCAGATACGGGTTTCCAAAAACTCCATCTTTCCGATTGCAAGGGCAATTTTGTCTGCCTCTGCTGGCAATCCCACACCACTTGCAACCTCTCGACGAACATCTTCGCTTCTTGCAAAACTCGACTCTATCTCCACTTCCGTTAGCTGCGTTCCTTCGGACTGAGAAGGAATTGCTTTGGGGGCTCGTTCAGGCATGGCACACAGAGCCAAAAACTACCCGCATTCACATGTTGATCCTGCCTAAGGCGAATGACAATCACCACCTCTCACGACAGAATCCTACGTTGCACCTCACGTGAAATATTGCAAAACGCCACTACACGAGCCCAAGCCCCCAAACCACCCAAAAACCCATAAATTCTACCAACCTGAGCACGCCCATCATCGGAAAGATGGATCTCTTAAAACCCATATTTGATTAGGCGTATGGATCATGGGTGCAACAGCGTAGAGGGGGGAATAAGAGGATTGTATCCATCTTCGCAACAAGTGTGCCTATGCCTAGCTCATGAACCCCAACTTTGCTTGCTCGGGTCCCGTGTCTTGTTTAGGGGATCAGGGGCTCTTCAGCCTCAAAGGCCTAAACCCCAAACACTCAACCCTAAACCCTAAACCCTAAACCCTAAATCCTAAACCCTAAACCCCTAAACCGTAAATGCTGAACAGCGATGAGGGTGCCTGACCCCCTGGCTCCGTCGCATACTGCCACTCGATCTGCACCTCCCGGTGATCCAGGTCGTACCTGGGAGGGTTTAGGGTTTAGGGTTTAGGGTTTAGGGTTTAGGGTTTAGGGTTTAGGGTTTAGGGGCTTTTCGATGACAAGGCCCCTGGGCTGATAGTTTAGGGGCACTTGTAGGGCTTGCAAAGCAAGAAGGGTTCATGGGTGACTTAGAGGGTTCATGGGGACAATGGGGCTTGATGGGGCTTGGGGCTTAGGGTTCTGAAGGCTTGTAGGGCTTAGGGCTTCTGGCGCCCTGGTCCGAGAAGAAAAGCCAAGCTCCCTTTGCCCGCGAGACACTGGATTAAGCTTTGGCGCCTTGTGGGCGGCACCTCGTTTTTGTTCAGGGGCCATCTTTACCAAACCCTACATACCTTCATGCTGGGAAGTGAGTTCAGCTCGCATCTCTTTGCCGAAGGGTCGGGGCGCTGCCCGAAGCTTCGTGTTTTGGGGATACTGCTTTGGTGTTGCCAAAGCAACGTCATCGCCAAATGCTGTGGCTGCCTTCCTATTGACCCAGGGTTTAGTGGGGTTTAGGGTTTAGCGTTGCGATGTCCCCCCCCGTATACTAACAGTCCTTAATAGGGATAGTAATACCCCCTAGTATAATCCCCATTAAGGACTGTTAGTAGAAGGGGGAACCTCCCAAAGTTTGACGGTTTGTGGGGGCTGGGTTGAAAAGCCTGGCAACGCATTGTCATCGTGAGACGGCCAGGGTCTGCCAGCAGTCTCTTTGGTCCGGGAATTCTTGTGAGCCCGAAGCCCTCAATTCCCCGCCCCCCCCAACCCCCCCCCCCCCCCCCAAAAAAAAAAAAAAACAAACAAAACAATAAATAACAGAATAACAATAATAACAATAATAACAATAATAATAATAACAATAAAAATAATAATACTACTAGCATATTGCCCAAAGCCCATCCCTCAGAGGATGTCAATCTTGCTGCCCAAGAAAACCCACATCTTTGACTCCTACACCCCCCCTCCCCCCAGACCCTGACGCGCTAAAACCCCATGGCCCGGTCGAAAGCCCTGAAGGCAATGTAAGAGCCTGAATGATTAGAATAGGGTGTCGGGGGCTTGGTATAGTACAATTCTAGAGGGACCATAAGGGAATATTACTTGGAATTATTCCGACTCCTATCTTACAGGCTTTTGGGGCTCCAAGGCTTAGGATTTCACCCCCTCTTTGGCATCGCACGAACCAACGGTGCGGCGGCGGATGGTGTGACGGGCTCGAACCTGTTGCAGGTGCTCTGGGTACCTAGGGTTTAGGGTTTAGGGTTTAGGGTTTAGGGTTTAGGGTTTAGGGTTTAGGGTTAACCCTAAACTTGTTTACGATTTAGGATGTTGGGCTTAGGGCTTTGGATATGGAAGGGTCGATGCGCCCAGGATCGAGGAGTTTTGGGGGCAGTGTGGAAGAGAAAGAATTCAAGTTTTAGGGCACATAGGGCTTCGGGCCCAAATCTCTATAACATACCTCGCAGCTCGCTTCAGATAGAGTTGCCTTTGGTTCCAGAGCACGGGTCTGGGTTGAAGTGCTGCACAAACTTGCAAGCTCTTGCCTCCACTCCTCTCTGTATATACCCATGCACAGCACAAGCCACCAAAGGGAAAAACATCCCATGAACCCTATACGCGATGAACCCTAAACCCAACTTATTCCCTTTTCAGAGTCTACAAGTCCTGAACCCCCGTCCCCAAAAAGAATGGAGAACTAACCCAGGACTTCGAGAAACCACGAAACCCAAACCCTAAACTCCTAAACTCCTAAACTCCTAAACTCCTACACTCCTACACTCCTAAACCCTAAACCCTAAACCCCCTAAACCTTGGAAGGAGCCTCGGGGTTCTTGCGCAAGAAGTAGGCCACGTGCTGGTCGATCAGGTCCTACCGTACGCAGGGCTTTCTGAGGGTTTAGGGTTTAGGGTTTAGGGTTTAGGGTTTAGGGTTTAGGGTTTAGGGTTTAGGGTTTAGGGTTCAGGGTTTAGGGTTTAGGGTTTAGGGTTTAGGGTTTAGGTTGAGGTTTAGGAGTTTAGGGTTAAATTTTGCTAAGAACACAGGAGCCGAGAAGGGCCAAGTGATATTTTTCCCTCAAGAAGCCGTATTTAGGGCTGATTAAGGCACAAGTTGGCCTTGCAGCCCGTGGTTTCCTATAGTCTAAAAACCCTAAACCCTAAACCCTAAACCCTAAACCCTAAACCCTAAACCCTAAAGGGAAGATGGGGATTCAATCCGTGGTCGCATCCCCCAGTAACTTGAGCACCCTCCCAAAAGTAGGGGGCTTCGAGGTCAACTATATTGGGCAGTTTCCTAAATTATCCCTTTTTTGGTACCCATTCTAAGTTGGCACCCTTACAAAGGGATCCCAAAAAGGACCCTAATTTAGAGAACTACCCACATTACAATCGGTTGTGGGGGCCTTCGTTTGAGGGGAGGGCTTGCCTAAAACCTGCTGCCTCCCTCACCCGCAGCTTGGTCCTTAAACATGCCTAGAGCCATGTTGCTCCCTAAAATCCCCGGAGAACCAGGCAGGACATGCCGGAAAATTCCCAGGCAAAAGCAGCGCACCCACTAACCCATGACAACCCAACCCGAATTAAGCCCTAACAGCCGAAAGCCTTCCAAGCCCTCCACACACGTCCCTCTCAACCATAGCTGGAGCCTCTGGGTCAGGGACGTAGGCGGTGCTGTCCTGGCGCTCGATTCGGGTGCTGAAGGGCGTAATGGAAGAAGATGCATTCACTCTCGAATCCTCAAAGAAGCCACCATTCAGTCTGGGGGCTTCCCACACACACACACACACACACACACACACATATATATATATATATAGATAGATATACTTCTATATATAAGAAACAGGGAGATGAACATTCATTCCTAGACCTTGTACCCTAAATGCTAAAACCCTGATACCCGAAACCGGAAACTCAGTACATCGTATGGATCACCGTAAATACAACAGTCCCTCAACAGCCCTCAAAGCGTGGAAACCTTCAAGCCCTACAGCCCTCAACCCCTGATGCCATAAAACCCTAGAACCCTGGAGCCCTAAAACCCTCAAACCCCTAGAAACCTAAACCCCTAAAGCCCCACAACCCGGAAAAGACAGAGTCAGACCTAGGAAAGCAAAACGGACCCCCTAGAACCCCAAAACCCCAAAAAACCTAAAGCCCTAAAATCCCCAAAGCCCTAAAACCCTAACGCACCCAAAGCCCTAAAACCTCAAAACCCTCAAGCCCTAAAACCCTACACACCCCTTTTTCTAGAACAGAATCCCCTCAAAGACGCCCCAAAAAAAGGTACCCTAAACCCTCAACCCTCAACCTTCAACCCTCAACCCTCAACCCTACACCCACACATTGCTTTTGATCTGTCACGCAGCGAATTCGCGGGCTGGGCAGGTGGGGCCCTCTCGTGACTTTGAGAGGGCGGAAAAGCCTGCCTCCAAGTGTGTGAAACTGAGAGTCGCCTGCAATCCGTCTAAGGGGTTAGGGTTCAGGGTTTAGGGTTTAGGGTTTAGGGTTTAGGGTTTAGGGTTTAGGGTTTAGGGTTTAGGGTTTAGGGTTTAGGGTTTAGGGTTTAGGGTTTAGGGTTTTTAGGCTTTAGGCTTTAGGCTTTAGGGTTTTAGGGTTTAGGGTTTAGGGTTTAGGGTTTAGGGTTTAGGGTTTAGGGTTTAGGGTTTAGGGTTTAGGGTTTCGGGTTTCGGGTTTAGGGCTGAGGGTCAACCATCCCCTGGCGGGCTGCCGTGGGGGAGGTACCGCTGTTCAGATGCAGGCGCGCCTAAAACACGTTGGTGGAGATGCCTCGGAGGGTACACCGCAAGTTTAGGGTTTAGGGTTTAGGTTTGGGGTTTGGGGTTTAGGGTTTAGGGTCTGCCCCAGGCCTCTTGGGGCATGTCTGTCTTCAAGCAGGCCCCAAAACCTAAACCCTCAACAGACCTAAGACCCCAGAAACCCATAAACCCGAATCAAAAACCCTCAACCCCTAAAGCCCCCGGGGGCTTCCGAAATATACCTTAATTATAGGGGTTCCTCATTTTTCGTAAACTCCCATTTAAAACCTGACGCTCAAAAACCCTAAAGCCCTGCCGGGTTGCTCCCGGCGAAGAGGTCCTGGCTCGACAAAGGTGGGGGCGCCACGCCCGCGAACGTCTCAGGCGAGATGGCCGCAGGCCATGTGCTCCTTTGGGGTTTAGGGGTTTAGTAGGGGCTTGGCAGGGGTTTTGTAAAGGTTTAATAGGGGTTTAGTAGGGATTTAGTGGGGGTTTAGTAGGGGTTTTCTAAAGGTTTAGCGGGGGCTTAGTAGGGGTGTAGTAGGGGTTTAGTAGGGGTTTAGTAGGGGTTTCGTGGGGTTTAGTAGGGGTTTAGTAGGGGCTAGTAGGGGTTTAAGGATTATGGGGGTTTAGGGTTTAGGGTTTTAGGGCTTCTGTTGGTTCAGGGGTTTAGGGCGCTGCGGCTTTGTTTTAGGGTTCAGGGCGTTTGGGGTGCCGAGTTCAAGGTGCTTGCGGTGGACGAGTTTGGGCCTTCTGGGATGCTTGTACCCCAAAGGTAGAGGGTTCCCATCAACTACTGGGTTTAGGGTTTAGGGTTTAGGGTTTAGGGTTTAGGGTTTAGGGTTTAGGGTTTAGGGTTTAGGGTTTAGGGTTTAGGGCAGGTTAGGACTTTCGCTCTCCCAGCAGCAACACCTAAACCCCAAACTCCAAACCCAAAACCTGACAAGCAAGCCGCCATGAACGCGGCTTAGGGTTCAGGGTTCAGGGTTTAGGGTTGAGGGTTGAGGGTTGAGAGTTGAGGGTTGAGGGTTGAGGGGTGAGGGTTTAGGAGACTTTAAACTCAGAAAGCAAGATCCCCTTCAGGGCTGTTTGAGATCGACGATGGATGAAAACAGCCCAAGACCTAAGCTCCAAACCCCCAAGCCTGAAAGGATAAAGTAAAAAACCGCATAATGATTAGTATGATTAATATATTTATAGTAACCCTAAACCCTAAACCCTAAACCCTAAACCCTAAACCCTAAACCCTAGACGGCCCTAGACCCTAAAGCCTAAACCCTAAACCCTAATAGACGACCATCTGCAAGGCAAGGCACTTGAAGGCGGAGGGCGTGGAGGAGATGAAGACTTCCGTCTTCTGGGAGCTGGAAAGCTCATCCTTTCAGCGATTTTAGGGTTTAGGTAGGGTTTGGGGTTTAGGGTTTAGGGTTTAGGGTTTCGGGTTTAGGGTTTAGGGGTTTAGGGGCTTAGGGGTTTAGGGGTTTAGGGGTTTAGGGGTTTAGGGGTTTAGGGGTTTAGGGGTTTAGGGGTTTAGGGGTTTAGGGGTTTAGGGGTTTAGGGGTTTAGGGTTTAGGGTTTAGGGTTAAGGGTTTAGGGTTTAGGGTTAGGGTTTAGGGTTTAGGGTTTAGGACTTAGGTTTTGGGGTTTAGGGTTTAGGGTTGAGGGTTGAGGGTTTAGGGGTTTAGGGTTTAGGGTTTAGGGTTTAGGGTTTAGGGTTTAGGGTTTAGGGTTTAGGGTTTAGGGTTTAGGGTTTAGGGTTTAGGGTTTAGGGTTTAGGGTTTAGGGTTTAGGGTTTAGGGTTATGGGTTTAGGGTTTAGGGTTTAGGGTTTAGGGTTTAGGGTTTAGGGTTTAGGGTTTAGGGTTTAGGGTTTAGGGTTTAGGGTTTAGGGTTTAGGGTTTAGGGTTTAGGGTTTAGGGTTTAGGGTTTAGGGTTTATCTGGTTGTTGGAAGGTGTACTTGCTTTCAGTGTGGATATCATCTTGAAAACAAGGCAGCCTATCAGAACAAGACAGATCGCATTGACCTCACCCCGTGGAAACTCACCCAGTATTCTTGCGCACACTGTTTGTAAACCAGAAAAGCCCTTAAAACCCACTACAAACCCTATAAAACTGCATAAACCCAAAAAACGGAGAAGAATAAGAAAAATGCACAAACTGTAAATCAAATACTTTCTTCGCTCCCGGTAAGCACCACCCCGTTTAGGGCTTGGTCCTTAAACACGTAACCCCTAAACCCGAAGCTCTAAACCCTAAATCCTGAGCCCTCTCAACCCTATACACCCTAATTAACCTAAACCTGACAAACCCCTACGAGCACAAGAAAGCCTCAAAAACCCTCTAGACCCAAAACAAGCCTCCAAAACCCTGTAGGCCCTGGGCTCTAAACCCTAAACCCTAAACCCTGAAAAGGAACCCTGGGCCCAAAACCCCCTGCGCCCACCATCCTTGGGGATCTTCCGCGCGAGGGATGAAGTCAGCTTGGTCGAGCCAGTGCCCAGAGCCATAGTCGACTCTTCCTTCCCGGGGGATGAACAGGGAGCTTAGGGCTCTCAGGGCTCTTAGGGCTTTAGGGCCCTAAACCCTAAACCAACCCTAAACCCTAAACCCTAAACCCTAAACCCTAAACCCTGATGGCGTCGGGGGTTGGAGACTCCCCTTGCTTCTGCTTGGGGTCTAGAGCCCTCTCATGTTGGGGATGTCTTGCGTGGTAGCAGCTCCCAGCGCCGCTCTGCAAAGCGAAGAAAGAGGCTCGCTGGCTGGCAGTTGCCCTAAAACCCTAAACATCCTAAACCCTGAACCCTAAACCCTAAGCGCTAAACCCTAAACCCTAAACCCTAACCCCTAAACCCTAAACCCTAACCCTAAACCCTAAACCCTATAAACTCCAAAACCTCGCGCCGCTAAAACCCTCGAGAACCTGCACCTGTATGGCGGCCTGAACCGAGGGTTTAGGGATTAGGCCCCTGTAGGGTTTAGGACTCTCTCCCAACATCGTAACCAGGGTTCTGCGCATTTAAGCAACAAGGGAAGGGGCGGCGGAGGGGGGGGGGAGCGGGAGAGGGAAACAACTGTCCGCAAGGTGCCCCCAAACCCACCCTGCAAGCCCCAAACCCCTAAACCCCGAAACCCCTACACCCCAAACCCCCCAAAACCCTAAACCCCAAACTCCCCAAACCCTAAACCCCAAACCCCAAGCCCCAAACCCCAAACCCCAAACCCCACACCCCAAACCCTAAGCCCTAAACCCTAAACCCTAAACCCCCTAACCCCAAGCCCCAAGCCCCAAACCCCAAATCCTTCGCCAGCTGCTTTGAGGCCCAAGGCAGGAGCTGCGTACAGGCGGTGCCGATGGGGCCGATGCAAAGCAGCGCCGAAGGCCTTGGGGCGTAGTTACGGTCCAAGGGTTTAGGGTTTAGGGTTTAGGGTTTAGGGTTTAGGGTTTAGGGTTTAGGGTTTAGGGTTTAGGGTTTAGGGTTTAGGGTTTAGGGTTTAGGGTTTAGGGTTTAGATGGTCCCTAAGTATGGGGCCCCTTGTGTACCCTAAACATATTAAGGGCCCATGTAACTAAGGGAGTTAGGGAATTGCTTTTCAGGAGCTTGGAGGTTTGGGGTTTAGGGTGATTTTTTGAGTCTCAGCGTTCTAGGGTTTGATAAGTAGGGCCTTAGGGCTTGTCAGGCTTTAGAGTTTTTGGGGTTTTAGGGTTCCGGCCCCGGAAGTTGGGTGCGCTTAAGGCTTTAGAGGATCTCTGGTTGCAACTCGGGTTGCAGGGCCTTATGAGGGATGTAGGCCTTAAGGGTTTCAGAGCTTCTTGCCTTTAGGGTTTAGGGTTTAGGGTTTCAGGGCTTTGGTCTTAGGGTTTTGGGGTTTCAGGGCTTTTGGGGTTCGAGGTTTGCCGCCTGCTCTACGCGCTGATTGATGGGCAATGGCGGGCTTGGGAGAAGTCTATAGGCTCCTGGGTCTGAGGGTCTGAGTGTTTTTGGTTCAGGCTTGTTCTTCCTCGTATTTTCTTCCTATTCTTCCTATTCCTTCTTATTCCTTCTTATTCCTTCTTATTCCTTCTGATTCCTTCTGTCTTCTTTGTTCTTCCTATTCTTCTTATCCTTTCTTATTCTTTCTTATTCTTTCTTATTCTTCTTATTCTTCTTATTCTTCTTATTCTTCTTATTCTTCTTATTCTTCTTATTCTTCTTATTCTTTCTTATTCTTTCTTATTCTTCTTATTCTTCTTATTCTTCTTATTCTTCTTATTCTTCTTATTCTTCTTATTCTTCTTATTCTTCTTATTCTTCTTATTCTTCTTATTCTTCTTATTCTTCTTATTCTTCTTATTCTTCTTATTCTTCTTATTCTTCTTATTCTTCTTATTCTTCATATTCTGGCAATTTTGAGTATTCACTAGTACTCTTACAAGAATATGTGCATATATAATACATATAGAATGAATGAGCTAGAACATGCAATAGTAGGAGGCCTTTTAGGCCTTAGGGTTCCAAAGCTTCCGAAGGCTTCCGGAACGACGCCCAGCGGCAGGGCAAGGATCGCGAAGAGGCAGGCGAAGAAGGTGACTGCGAAGAGGACCGTGGCCAGCTTCACGAAGATGACCTGAGGGTTTAGGGTGTAGACGAGGGTTTCGGGTTTAGGATTTAAGGTTTAGGGCTTGGGGTTTGGGGTTTAGGGTTTAGGGTTTGGGGTTTGGGGTTTGGGGCTTGGGGTTTGGGGTTTGGGGTTATGTGGTTTCGGGTTTGGGGTTGGGGGTTGGGGTTGTGTGGTTTGGGGTTATGTGGTTTCGGGTTTGGGGCTTGGGGTCTCACGCAGCTCTCTGAACGGTATGGTCATCTTCGGGGTACCGACTACCGTACAGGCCTCATGGCTAAGGTACACCAAAGGGAACCAGAATGAAATATAGCGGCCTTAATAATTAAAACAGTGCTTTGGGGGGTTTGATTTTGGTATCAATACAAAGGGACCATGGCTCCTCCGGGACCCCCTACAAAGAGGTCGCTACGCTTTATCCGGAGGTTTGGGGTCTCTCATACTCGCCAGCGACCTGCCGGGTCCCCCGCGCAGCCCGTAGCTGCCTACGGGACTTGAGAGCTCCGTCGCGGGCGGGAGGGCTTATGGCTCCGAAGGTCCCTCGTGGCCCAGTTGAGGGGGCGCGCTGGTGCTAAGAGCACCAGGCGCACGCCCCCGACTTGTGGAGCCCCACCCCCGCTTGCGCTCACCCTCGCCTTGACCTTTGCTGGTTTAGGGTTTCCTTGCTTTCTGATCGATCCTTTGTTTTTCTTCGTATTTGTGTATGCGAGCGGGGTGCGGCAGCGAAGTAGGCCACACAGCAGCCTTGTGCAGGGGCAAAAAGCCAAGGTTTGGGATTGGGGCTGGCTGCCGCCTTCGCCTTGGCGATGCTGCATCCTGGTTGGGGATCTGAAACTGCCTGGGACCCTAAACCCTAAAACCTAAACCCTAAACCCAAAACCCTAACCCTAAACCCTAAACCCTAAACCCTAAATACCGAAAGGCCCCCTTGCCTGGCCTGTCTGGAGACCCCGAAAGCTAGACCCCTGCCATGGGAGGCCCTGCCATGGGAGGCCCTGCCTGTGAGGCCCTGCCTGTCTGGGAGGGTTTAGGGTTTAGGGTTTAGGGTTTAGGGTTTAGGGTTTAGGGTTTAGGGTTTAGGGTTTAGGGTTTAGGGTTTAGGGTTTAGGGTTTAGGGTTTAGGGTTTAGGGTTTAGGGTTTAGGGTAAAGTTTAGGGTTTTGGGTTTACGGCAGTGACTGGCGTCGGCTGGCTTATAGAAAAAACCTGGAATAATTGTTTTTTGAAAATTTTTCTGGAAAGATTTCTGAAAAATGCTCTGACTCCAAAAACATTTCTGGAAACAAGTCTCAAATACTTTTGCACCAGAAAAAGAATCAGAGTTGTTTCAGAAATTCCTAGTGCCCGTTCCAGGGGTCTGAAGATCAGAAAAACCATGGGATATACTTGGGGTGGGACTCTACCATCATTTGCAGGCCTCTACTATGACAGAAATGTTCGCCGGTAACGGGGCTTGTAACAGAAACAGTAACGGAAAGGAGCCGAGCTGTAACGGATTTGTCGCGGAGCTGTAACGGAGCCGTATCGGAAATCTGCAATGGAGCGCTACCGGCTGTAGCGACGCTGTAACGGAAGCTGTAACGGAGCCGTAGCAGCAGGCAGCAATTTGATAACGGACCTGTAACGGAGCTGCACAACTGAGCTGTAACGGGAGCTGTAACGGAGCTGTACTGGAGGTGCAACGGAGCTGTATAGCTGAGCTGTAACGGCTGTAACGGAGCTGTGACGGAGGTGCATCGGAGCTGTAACGGAGCTGCACCGGAACTGTAACGGAAGCTGCAACGGAGGTCTAACGGAGGTGCAACGGAGCTGTAACGGAGCTCTAGCGGAAGCTGTGACGGAGCTGTAACGGAGGTGCGACGGAGCTGTAACGGAACTGTAGCAGGGGTGCTGTAACGGAGCTGTAACGGAGGGCCGACGGTGGGTAGCGCAAATCCCATAGGAAATTATGGTAGAGCCCGCCCCAAGTATATACAGCATTTCTCTGATTATTTTTCTGAGTTTTTTCTCAGTTCTGATCTCCACCCCCAACCCTGGACCCTGGAGGGGGAATTTCAGAAAAAAAAAAAATGCTGGATACACCATGCGTTTGTGACTTTCCATCCCCCATGGCGGGCGTCCAGACCAGAAGTTTTTTCGGAAATTTCTGGGCATCCGGAAAGGGGAGGGGGAATCAGAAAAAGCATGGTATATACAGCACTTTCTGATTTTTGTTCTGAAACCTGATCCCCCGCTCGTACGGGAGCATTTTCAGAAAAACAAATCAGAAACATTTCACAGACCAGAAAACAATCAGAAACTTTTTCAGAAATATTTCAGAAAATAATTCAGATCCGCATCTGACGGGCGCCCGTCACTAGTTACGGTTTAGGGTTTAGGGTTTAGCGTTTAGGGTTTAGGGTTTAGGGTTTAGGGTTTAGGGTTTAGGGTTTAGGGCTTAGGGCCAGGGCTTAGGGCTTAGCCCTCCAATATAGTTTGGGTGACCGATGCCGGCTGGAAGCACCCACGAAACCTTGCATGCCCGCACTCAGCCCTCTGCCTCTGCGCCTTGAAAGGCCCTATACGGCCCTGCACCCTGAAGGAACCTTTCAAGCTCCCTGAACCCTAAACCCTAAACCCTAAACCCTGAACCCTAAACCCTAAACCCTAAACCCTAAACCCTAAACCCTAAACCCTAAACCCTAAACCTGCCGGAGGCGTCGGTCGAGGGGCCAGCTGGCAGAAGAAGAGGAAGAAGCTGGACCCCAAAGTCGTCACGGCGGAACCAAGCACCGAACTGGCCATACCTCCCCCCAGAAGCGCTTTCGGGGGTGTTAGGTGGCGTGTTTTGGGAGGGTTAAGGGTTTAGGGTTTAGGGTTTAAGGTTAAGGGTTTAGGGTTTAGGGTTTAGGGCTTAGGGTTTAGGGTTTAGGGTTTAGGGTTTAGGGGCTTTAAGGGTGCAGCTTGGGGAAGCCAAAGCTCGCATCCCACAGGTTGTGCCCCCCAAAAAGGGGATCCTGGTTCCCTTACATACTTCGAAAAATGGCCGCTGTACTTGGAGGTTCATGGTACTTATTATCGGGTGTAGGGTGTAGGGTTTAGGGTTTAGGGTTTAGGTTTAGGGTTTAGGGTTTAGGGTTTAGGGGTTAGAACTGTACTTAAAGCCACATTGGGGCACTTAAGGGGCTTCTAAGTGGGTGATAAGTACAGCTAGAACTGGCGAACAAGTACCATGAACCTCCAAGTACCTCGAAGTGCCAGGCTACCTTGGGGGTTCAGGGTCCAGTCCCTTGCTTAGCTTTGGAGTAGACCCAGGAAAAAAAGTATACACTTTTTAGGTACTAAGTAGCAATAATAGGAACCCAGAACAAAAAAAAGTATTAAAGTATAGTACTCCAAAGCCCAGCTTGGGCCGGGGGAGGGTTTGGGTCTGAAGTTGTGTTGGCTTTGGGGAACCCGAACCCTTGAGTTCGCGGGCCCGCAACCCGCTAGAAGCTGGATCAGCTCGAGATCAGCTACACAATACACCCAAATTCCTAAACCCTAAACCCTAAACCCTAAACCCTAAACCCTAAACCCTAAACCCTAAACCCTAAACCCATTAGGGGTTCAGGGTAGCTTTTGGAGTTTTGGGCATAGAGGCTTGGCGTTCGAGGCCAGGAGCTCTGCAGCGCAAGGATGACGGCGTGGCGGCGGCGCTCCGCCAAGGTCTCCTGAGGGTTTCGGGTTTAGGGTTTAGGGTTTAGGGTTTAGGGTTTAGGGTTTAGGGTTTAGGGTTTAGGGTTTAGGATTTAGGGTCTAGGGTCTAGGGTCTAGGGTCTAGGGTTTAGGGTTTAGGGGTTGGGGGTTAGGGGTTTGGGGTTAAGGGATTAGGGCGTAGGGCTTAGGGTTTGGACTTCTGGCGTCTGGGGTTTAGGGTTGAGCGTGGGCTTCTCAGGGCTTACAGTTTAAGGCTTGAGGGTTTTTAGGGTTGAGGGGGTTTAGAGGATTTAGGAAGGGTTTAGGGTTTAGAGGCTTTAGGGTTTGGAGGCTACAGCTGCCCCCCTTCCCGAGATCCACCATGAGGGCTTAGGGCTTCTCGGGCTCAAGAGACTGAAGGGTTTTGGGATTTGGGGGTGGAGTGTAACCCTAAACCCTAAGCCCTAAGCCCTAAGCCCTAAGCCCTAAGCCCTAAACCCTAAACCCTAAACCCTAAACCCTAGGAGGGTTTGGGGCTTCAACCCCCACATCGCCTCCTCCAACTCCACACTGTGCTGCTGGTACTTGTGGGCAATGTGCAGGGAGTAGGTGATACTGTAGCCCACGAAAACCTGAGGGCTTCAGATTTAGGGGGTTTAGGGTTTAGGGTTCAGGGTTCAGGGTTCAGGGTTTAGGGTTTAGGGTTCAGCGTTCAGGGTTTAGGGTTTAGGGTTGGGGTCTGGGGCTTATGGTCTGGAGTTGAGGGCTTCATGGTATCGGGGCCCTAAGCCAAAGCCCCCAACCCGGACACCAATCGAAGGTGCTAGTTTCTTTGCTTTGCCCCCGATTTCCACCTGCAGCAAGACAGAGCCCACCAACAAGACACAAAAAACAGGGTTCCGGCCGAACACCCTCGATCCGGATTCAAAAAACCCTGAAAGTGTCAATCATCTGACCGGGGCACAATGAGGCCCAACACCTCGAGCACGCCGACCGGCCAACCCATGAAGATGATCATGAACCTCGGCTCAGCTCCCCTTTTCTCGGAGGGGAATTTCAGCTTTGGGGAAGTTTTGGGAAGTCTGGCAAGTTTGGGAAGTCTAGGAAATCTGGGAAGTCTAGGAAGTTCAGGGTTTAGGGCCGTTTAGGGTTTAGGACTACGTAGGAAGTTCCGGGTTCAGGGTTTAGGATTTGGGGGGGCGTTGGGGATCTGGGCGAAGAAAAAGGGCAAACCTGCGAAACCTGGGATGTACGGGGGAGAAGGTGGGAGGGTGGGGAGCGGAGGGAGGTGGGGGGGGGAGGGGGAGGGGGGAGGGGGAGGGGGGAGGGGGAGGGGGGGAGGGAAGGGGGGAGGGGTAGGGGATGGGGAGGGGGGAGGGGGACGGGGGAGGGGGAGGGGGAAGTAAGAAGCCACGCTTGAAGCTTTTACCAGAGGGGCTGAGGGGTCCAGCGAAACAGGGTTTGAGGGTTAGGGGTCTGGGGGCTTGGGCGTTTAAGGGGCTCAGGGTTTAAGTGCTGAGAAAGCTACCAGGCCAGGCAGATGGTCACACCAGCCACGGCCACCACGACCATCCTCAGAGGATCGAGGACTGACCGAGAAACCCCAAAGCGCGCATCCTTTCGATTCAAGGCTTGAAGCCCCATATAGGGGCCTTCACAATTTGAATAGGGTTTTGGGGTTCTTATACTATAATTATGAAGGGACCAGAAGGGAATACGATTAGTAATTATTCCGACCCGTATAGTACACCTTGAACCCTGAACTCGCAACCTTCAACGATTTAGAATTTGGGCTTTTGGATTTCGGCTTTCGGGCGTATAACCCTTCAGCCTTCAACCGACACACTGTGCTAGCGGAGGGTAGTTTCTCACTGGATTTTCAAATTTTGGAGGTTCGGGCCGAATGCCTGGTTTAGGGTTTGGGTAAACCCTAAGCCCTTTTGAAGGTGCAGTAGTTGGAGAACCCTCCCTTCAGGTCTATCAGGACACTTGACTGTCGAGCCCCCCCAAAATGGACGCCACTCACGTGTGCTATGCATTGTGATGGCCTGTCAGGGAGTGCCTAAGGACTGCACGCATCCCATCTGCCCCTCCCTCGCACTTGCAAGTTGACAGTGTGACGGAGTTCTGGAAAGCATTTCAAATTTGCTTTGCCGAAAGTGGCCAGGCCGATAGATACCCGCAATTCGGAGATAGATGGTGAAGACCCTACATGAGCAACAATAACACAACTCCAAACATCAACCTCATGCTCCACACAGAACCCTAAACCCTAAACCCCAAACCCCAAACCCTAAACCCTAAACCTTAAACCCTAAACCCTCCCCCTCGAAGAGTTCGACGCCGCGGCTCAAGGAGAGCAAAATGTCCAGGTGAGTAAAGATCAGGGCGCCGGCGAGGCCGCAGGCTACGCCTGGTGTTGGGTTTAGGGTTTAGGGTTTAGGGTTTAGGGTTTGGGGTTTAGGGTTTAGGGTTTAGGGTTGAGGATTGAGGGTTTAGAGTTTGAAGGTTCCTACAGGGGACCCGAAAATTGCACCCGTGCCAGCCGCTGCTGCAACACCCTAAACCCTAAACCCTAAACCCTAAACCCTAAACCCTAAACCCTAAACCCTAAACCCTAAACCCTAAACCTAAACCCTAAACCTAAACCCTAAACCCTCAACCCTAAACCCCCAACTCTTGACCCCGAACCCTTGGGATGTTCCCCCTTATGCTAACAGTCCTTCATAGGGATCATAGTACCCCCCCTATTAGAATCCCCATTAAGGACGGCTCGTCTAAGGGGGAACAGCCCAACCTAACCCTGAAATCTGAAACCTGCACCCCTGCACAAAGAACCAAAGCCCTACAAACCTCACGCACGAACTTGGGGTTTACTACCCTAACCCCGTCAGCCTACAAAACCCAAGCCGAACCGAAAAACTGTAGACCCAAAACTCAAGGTTGGTTTAGGGTCCAGGGTCTAGGGTTTGAGGTTTGGGGTTTGGGGTTAAAAGGTTAATTAGAGTTTAGAGTTTCGGCTTTAAGGTTCAGGATCAGCCCTAAACGCTAAACTCTGTAAAGCCAAAGCCCCGAGCCCCTACCCCACTATACCTTAAGCGTAATCCGAACCCTAAATAAGCCCTCTAGATCTGAACCCCCAGACGCTAAACCCCGCACCCCGAACCTGTGACGGAGGTCAGATAAAGGACAGCGCCAAAACCACGACAGGACTTCGTTCTAGACTCCAAAGCGCCAAGCAACTCACGATCATGGTCACCACAGTGCTACTCACGATGGCCGACTCTGCCTCACGACAAGACTCCCTCAGGACTGGGGCTTTTCAGGTATCGTCGCATACCTAGGCCTCGCCAGGAAGTCTACATCTGCTGGCGATTGAAGCTCACATGAGCGAGGTTCAACTGCAGTTCGCACACCAACCCCCGAACCCTGCACTCTCTTCGCAGGACCTCAACCTCAAATCAAGCAAACTTCCCTGAAGTCGACCTTAAAGGATGAAATCAAGAGATGTTGAATTTCATTTTCAGTCAGGCGTGCAGTGGCCAACCTATGCTTGGGATTTTGAGGGTTGCCGAAACTAGGGGTCCCTTTTTGGGGGGTCTTATTAAAGGGAATCCTACTGCTTGGGGGTTTACAGTTGGGGCCCCTTGTTTTCGTAAACTCCCATTTTGGGTGGTTTGGGGTTCGAAGTTTGCTGCTTACCCCTAAACCCTAAACCCTAAACCCTAAACCCTAAACCCCCCGAAACCCCCGAGGCCACCCTCTGAAGGCACTCAGGGCCTCGGCACGGATCCACAGCTGCGAGGTGTGCCAGGCCTTTCTTTCTTTCACCCCTCTCAGCCCTACACCCAATTTAGAATAGGGTATGTTTAGGGTTTAGGGTTTAGGGTTTAGGGTTTAGTGTTTTGGGTTTTGGGTTTTGGGTTTTGGGTTTTGGGTTTTGGGTGTTTGGGGGGGGGGGGGGGGTTATATCATGAAGGGACCATAAGGGAATACCATTATAGTATTTCTTCCGACCCTAAAGCCAGTTAGAATAGGATGTTAGGGGGGTGTTAGGGGGGGGGTTTTATAGTAGAATTCTGAAGGGACCATAAGGGAATGTTATTGGTATTCTCTTCCGACCCCAATTATGCAACGCTCCTACACACCAAAAGCCAAGGAAACACTTAAGATAAGCTACCGAAAGCCCGCAAGCGTTTATTTCATCAACCCTTCTCTGAGCCACCAAGAGCCCCAAATGTCATCAACCCCACAGGAGCCGCTTTAAGTAGCGACACCTCCCCAGCGACCCCAAGCACAGATTGCTTCACGGATGGGGAGGGACGGGAACCTAGGACCCAAGAAGGCGACTCAAGGTACCCCAGAGCCGCACAGACCCAAGAAGGCATCCTGGATTTTCGCGTTTAGGACTTCGGGCCTTAGGGTCCGGTAGTATTTGTCGTGCTTTTGAGGTCTGAGGGCGCCCTTGCAGGAGCTTAGCACATGTTTGGGGGCGTACTCTGACGGCTTAGGGTTGAGAACTTAGGGTTTAGAACTTAGTAGACCAGAAGTCCTACCCTGCAGCTCCGGCCACTGACCCTCACCCCCAAAGCCTACAACCCTAGCCTCACCGACATCTGCGGGGGCATCTTTGTTCACCTCGTCGATGACCTGGGGAAAGCCACGACTTTCAGGGGCCTCTCAAGTCTTGGCTGCACTCAGGAGGGCAGCTAAAAATTTAAGCTTTTCGCTGCCTTATTCAGAAAACCCAATAAACCCCAAAAAGGGTAAGGATCTAAAGTTACGCTCAAGTACCACAAAGAGGTGATGGGATGTCCTTGAGCTCGGCGGCTGTCACCGGCGGCTGGCGGCTTTCGGGGTTTCAGGCTCCGCATGGAGCACACACTAAGCCTTTTATGGCTCAGTTCAAATTATGTTGTTGTTCATCATTTCTAACAATATTAATTGGTAAATTTGTTGGTTTTGGTTTTGTAAATGATGTATTATTAATTCCAATTATTTTTGTACAATCACTTGGTTCTGTTAAGTTAAAATCTGGTCCACAAGGTCAGGAGTCAGGAGTGCTGGATTCTCCAACTGGGGAGAGACGAACACCCTGTCTCCCAAAACCTAACTCAGCAGGAAAGGGGGGAACAACGGGAACCCTAAACCCTAAACCCTAAACCCTAAACCCTAAACCCTAAACCCTAAACCCTAAACCCTAAAAGGGTACTACTGGGCATTCTCTCGTCAACCCCCAGTCTCCACAAGATGGCGGCTTCGTCTTATGGTGGCCAGTGTTCGGGCCGGGGGGGGAGGGGGGGGGGTGCCTTGAATGTAAGGGTGTGGAGTTGAGGGTTTCAGGTGTAGGGTTTAGGGTTTAGGGTTTAGGGTTTAGGGTTTAGGGTTTAGGGTTTAGGGTTTAGGGTTTAGGGTTTAGGGTTTAGGGTTTAGGGTTTAGGGTTTAGGGTTTAGGGTTTAGGGTTTAGGGACAGTTGGGTTCAGGGTTCCTTCTAAGGGGCCCACAATATTGAGGCATGTCGAGAAACAGGCCACTGGGACTCGTTGCTTCAAAGACGGGCACAAGCTGTCAACATGAAACAGCTGCGGGAAGTGCACAGCACACCTCGCATGCCCGAGCCACACATGGGTTTAGGGTTTAGGGTTTAGGGTTTAGGGTTTAGGGTTTAGGGTTTAGGGTTTAGGGTTTTAGGGTTTAGGGTTTAGGGTTTAGGAAGACGCAGACTTTCAGATGTCTTGCGCAGGCCTCCCCTTTCAAGCCTTGCAGAGATCACGCCCGTCAGGCAAGATACAGGGCACCCCCAGCAAGCGCATCAGCTCTTCGCCTTGCTGTCATGTGCCAGGCGCTTGGCACGTTGGCCTCAAGGGCACCGCCTACACGACGCTCAGAACCCTGAGGACCTTTGAGTTCACTCCCCACTTGGGGGTTCATGGTACTTGTTAACGAATTATAACCATCTTAGGGCACTTAAGGGGCTTATAAGTGTGTGATAAGCACAGTTACAACTGGTTAATAAGCACCATGAACCTCCAGGCACCGGAACAAGGTTCCTTCAGAGGTTCGAGAGGGTCGTGCACTCCACAAGGCTGGCCCCACACCCGGCCAGCGGTGCGACAGCTGCCAGCACTGTCGCATTGCAAACGCGAACAGCGGCACCCAGGCAGCTGTTGGGTAGGGCTACGCAGGAGCAGCAGCTGTGAGAGCACTCCTAGAGACACCGACGCTGGCATGGAGAGTGCACCGCAGCCGGCAGAATCTACTTTCAGAGTTCGATATACTCTTCAGATTCCCCGGCATCGTCGTTGCACGCCAGCTTGTCCACAAGAGAAGGTACACAGAACTCCCCGGAGTCACGGTCCTCAATGGGAAATGAGAGCGAAAGAAGACACGAGCAAACCAAAACGACTGCACAAAACGACATCGCAAATCCCAAAGCATGGGCCCACCCCAATCCCCCTTTGCAGGGTTTCAGGGCTTGGGGCGAAAGGTTCTCCATTCACTTCACCTCCACGGCACCGCAAAGCCTCACGAAGCGTAGCGCACCGCAACCGGCCAACTCAAAGCCCTACCCCTCGAAGCTCGGATTCCCAACCGCACTAGGCCTGGGAGCCTCATAAACCCACGATCCCCGTCAGCTTCACACCCCAAAGCCCCGCCAAGGGTTTAGGGCTAAGGTCCTTAGGCTTGAGGGGTGAGCCCTAAACCACCGCACCGCACGATGCCCCCAAACCCAAACGAACTGAAAGCCCGAGCCTTAAGGTTTTTGGCCCCAGTGCCTTGTCCCAGCTTTGCATCAGGGAGAGAATTGATGCAGAGGCTGCCGTCATGTAGTTCAGGCTTACGAAGAACCTGCTTGGGGCTGGCGGCCGAAGGGTTTGGGCTAGAGTTGTAAGGCTTGGCATCGTGGCATTGGAAGCTGTAATAGCCTTGTTCTTCCATGAGTTTTATGGACTTCGGTACAGCGACGGCACTGCTTAAGAGACATCATTGGTCTAAGCAACGAGCACCCTGCACCCTCAGCTACTTGGGAATGCGACAAGTGAGACAAGCACCTTAATTAAGGAATCGCGTGTACCCTCAGTCGGGGGACCTTTCTCGACTATCCTTGTTTTTGCAATAGCCCGCAAAACACCCCCCCGCCCCCCCCAAGTCCCTGCAAATAAGACACCAAGCCCGCGGTGGGGGGGGGGGGGGGGGGGGGGGGGGGCGATCCCCATTAAATCATGAAATTGCTGGATTTCTTATATGTAAGAAGATGAGTGGACCCCAATTTAAGAAATTGAGGGGCTGGATTTGTGGTTCTTAAGAAATTAAAAAAAGGCCGGGTGTCTTTTCGAAAACTAAAGGGGCTGGATTTCTTATGTGAGGCGGGCTGGGATTTAAGACATGGACAAGAAATCGAGGGTGGTCTGAAATGGTTGAGGTGCTTGTTTTCAACAAATGAGGGAGCGTCATCACAACAGAGAATGGAGGGTGCCCTGACAAAAAACTAGATGTTCGTCTCTAGCGCTGTCACTGCCCCCCTTTAGGGTTTAGGGTTTAGGGTTTAGGGTTTAGGGTTTAGGGTTTGGGGTGTAGGGTTTAGGGTTTAGGGCCTAGGGTTAGGGTTTAGGCATTGAGGCCTAGCATGTAAAAGCCTTTCAGCGGCTGGCTAGCGATTTTGCCTGGGCCAGTTTAACGCACTGCCAGAAACGGAAGCGTACACTCGAAACCCTAAACCCTGGGCCCAAAACCCTAAACAAGCCCCAAGGTCGAAACCCTAAGCTCTAAACCCCCAAACCTCTAAAGGCCGAACCCCCCAACCCCAAAGCCGAAATCCCCAAACCCCGAAACCCCTACCAAAAACCCCAAAGCCACTGTAAACCCTAACCCTAAACCCCAAACCTTAAACAGGCCCAGACGGCTGCACAAACGTCGCGCGGACTTCGAAGTCCGGGCCCAGCCACATGAACTCCTTTAGGGTTTAGGGTTTAGGGTTTAGGGTTTAGGGTTTAGGGTTTAGGGTTTAGGGTTTAGGGTTTAGGGTTTAGGGTTTAGGGTTTAGGGTTTAGGGTTTAGGGTTTAGGGTTTAGGGTTTAGGGTTTAGGGTTTAGGGTTTAGGGTTTAGGGTTTAGGGTTTAGGGTTTAGGGTTTAGGGTTTAGGGTTTAGGGTTTAGGGTTTAGGGGGTTTAGGGGCAGCTTGTCAAGCGTTGGGGAAAAAAACCCACCCGCCCAAGAAACCCATAACATTGAGAAAATGTACAGTTCACTCAGTACATTCCCAGGAGGCTTAATCCTCAAAATTCTCACCCTGTACCTCTTCCCCTGCAGGCTCTGAACCCTATGGCCGAAATCGTAGACCCTCTAAACCCTATCCCCAAACCGTAGGCCTCTAAACCCTATGCCCCAAATTTTAGAGACCCTAAACCCTACGCCCCAAACACTAGAGCGGGCCCCCCCGAGGGAAAGAAACCATTTGCCGACGAAGGGCATCAGGGTTTAGGGCCCACGGGGGGAAAAACCGTTTGCCGACGAAGGGCGTCAGGGTTTAGAGCCTCCCGAGGGAAAAAAACCATTTGCCGACGAAGGGCGTCAGGGTTTAGGGGCCCTTGAGTTAGGGTTTAGGGTTTAGGGTTTAGGGTTTAGGGTTTAGGGTTTAGGGTTTAGGGTTTAGGGTTTAGGGTTTATATGGGGTTTAGGGTTTTGGGCTTAGGGTTTAGGGTTTAGGGCGGAGGGCTTAGGGCTTAGGGTGCAAGGTTTGGGGTCTAGGGTTTAGAGCTTCGGGTTTCGGATTTAGGGTTTAGGGTTTAGGGTTTAGGGTTTAGGGTTTAGGGTTTAGGGTTTGGGGTTCAAGAAACCCTCGAAACGGATCGGGGATGAACATCTTGCGCCGAGGGCTTGTTGGAGTCTAAGGACATTCTTGCCCGCTCATAGGGTTAGGCCGTACAAGGGCTTAGGGGTTTTGCGCCTAGAGCCCAACTCCCTAAACCCTAAACCCTAAACCCTAAACCCGCAGTCCTTGGCCAGGTAGCCGTTGGGCAGCACGCGGCCATCCACGAACTCCGCGAAGGTCTGCCGGAAGATGCTGCTGGGCACCGGAAATGGCAGATCCTGTACTGCACCATGGGTTTAGGGTTTAGGGTTCAGGGTTCAGGGTTCAGGGTTTAGGGTTTAGGGTTTAGGGTTTAGGGTTTAGGGTTTAGGGTTTAGGGTTTAGGGTTTAGGGTTTAGGGTTTGGGATTTAGGGTTTAGGGCTTAGGGTTTAGGGTTTAGGGTTTAGGGTTTAGGGTCTAGAGTCTAGGGTCTAGGGGGTATTGTTGGGGTACGATTAAAAATCACCGTCTTTTGTTCCTTATCGGGTTTAAGTATTCATGAGAATGCAAGATGCTTTTCAGCAATGACCCAGTGTAGGGGACAGGGGCTTCAGTGGTGCAGTGTGCGAGGTGCTCGGCTTAGGGCTTCGGAGGTTTGGAGTTTAGGGTTTCGGGTTTAGGGTTGAGAGGGGGGCCCAGGAAGGGCTCAACTGAGCTACCCTTGAAGCTCCGGAACCCTGAAACCGGGTTTATTTAGGGTTTAGGGTTTATGGTTACGGGTTTAGGGTTTCGGGTTTCGGGTTTAGGGTTTAGAGATACTGGACGGGTGTCAAAACCTGAGCTGCAATGCATAGGTTTTGGCTTCTCAAGGTCCAATCGTCTGGTCTCCCAGGCCAGTTGTCTGGACATCCCGACGTATTTCAGGGCCAGTAAGGGTTTATAGGATTTGGGGGCATGGGGTTTCAGGCTTCCGGTTCGGGTTTGTGACCCTGACCATCTAACCCGACTGGTGAGGGGCTTCTGCTGTTTGCATCTGCCGCGTACTTTCGGGCACCTAGTTGGGTTTGTAGGGTGCGGGGCCAGCCCCTTTAGACACCTTTACTACACCCCCTAGACCCGCCCCCGAAACCCTAAAGCCTAAACCCTAAACCCTAAACCCTGAACCCTAAACCCTAAACCCTAACCCCCTAAACCCTAAACCCAAAACCCTAAACCACCCTAAACCACCCTAAACCCTAAACCACCCTAAACCCTAAACCCTAAACCCTCGACCCCAAATGGGCGAGGGGAAGGCCCACCCACAATCCAGCACCCACTGAAGGGGTCCCTCTCATCGGCGAACTGCCTGAACTGCTCGATCCTGGGGGCAGGAACGGAATGTGGTGGCTTGGGTTTAGGGTTTAGGGTTGAGGGTTGAGGGTTTAGGGTTGAGGGTTTAGGGTTTAGGGTTTAGGGTTTAGGGTTTAGGGCTTGGCACACCTGAAAGCACACCCCGATTAGACTGCTAGACCTCAAGCCTTCATGGGGCCTAGGGGTTTGGGTCTTAAAACTTACCCCCAAAAAAAACTCAGACATCCGAAATCCGAAAATCCTCAGCCTGAAAAGTCTCCAATATCTCGGAGGTCAGTAAGTCGGCTTCTCAGCTCCGAAAGGGTTCAGGGTTTAGGGTTTAGGGTTTCGGGTTTCGGGTTTAGGGTTTAGGGTTTAGGGTTTAGGGTTTAGGGTTTAGGGTTTAGGGTTTCGGGTTAAAGGCGAAAGGGTTTATCCCGAAGATTCTGAAGTCGAAAGCCGTCCGATATCCTCAAAGCCTGGCGCCCTCAACCCTCAACACCCAAAACCCTCCAGGGTTTAGGGTTTAGGGTTTAGGGTTTAGGGTTTAGGGTTTAGGGTTTAGGGTTTAGGGCCCAAAATTGGGGGAACCGTGTTGGGGTTTGACCCAAGGGTCCAGCAGACCGTCCGAATGACCAGCAGCTCTGGTTTGGACGGTGCCTGCAATCTTTGCCGCTCACAGGGTTTGGGGTTTAGGTGTGTCGAGGTCAGGAGCACAGGGTTTAGTCGTCAAGGCCCGAAACACAGAAACCCCAAGAAGTTTCTTAGCACCCCCAAACCCCGAAAAGTTTCTCAACACCCCAAACCCCTGAAACCCCCAGAGCCCACAAAAACCCTGAAGGGCGCCGCCTGCCGGCACGTCTGCAGCAGCGCGCGCTGGGTGAAGGGGGACTCAGGCCGGAACACCAAGTTGAAGGACCAGGATTCCTCCCAAGGTGTAAAAGCTTAGGATTCTAGGGTGTTGGGCTGAAGGCCTCCATTTTCAGGGTTTCAGGGTTTAGGATTTTCAGGGTTTTAGGATTCTAGGGCTTTCGGGATTAGGGTTCAAGGCTTTAGGGGTTTGGGGTCTCAGGGTTTAGGGTCTCAGGGGCTCTTGTGTGGCGTTTGGGGTCCAAACCCCGGACTCTGAACCCAAAAAGCCCTCCCAAAGCCGCTCTAGCTACTCTTACAGCGTTGAACACTGGGTTTAGGATTTGGGGTCTGGGGTTTCTTTGGGATTCAGGGTCTAAGCCCTCAAGCTCAAAAACCCGATACACGCCGCCCTAAACCCAGCTCCAACCCTGAACCTTCAGCCCTCAACCCTGGGCCCCTAACACGAGCCACCCTCAACCCTAAACCCTAAACCCTGAACCCTGAACCCTAAACCCTAAACCCTAAACCCTAAACCCTAAAACCCTAAACCCTAAACCCTAAACCCTAAACCCTACACCAAAAAGCCCTCAACCCCCCCGACCCTAGCCTGCCGTGACCCCAAGAGCGGCGAGCCATCTTCTACCTGGCCACGTGCTGCGGGACTTCCGGCTTGGGCTCGAAAGTGGGTCTCGTGTCTGGAGTTTAGGGTTTAGGGTTTAGGGTTTAGGGTTTAGGGTTTAGGGTTTAGGGTTTAGGGTTTAGGGTTTAGGGTTTAGGGTTTAGGGTTTAGGGTTTAGGGTTTAGGGTTTAGGGTTTAGGGTTTAGGGTTTAGGTTCAAAGGGTGCAGGGTTTGGGCTTTGGGGCTTGGGGCTTCGCAAGGTCTTGAGGATTTATGCTTTGGTGCTTTAGGGTGTGGGGCTTGAGGGCCTTTATTGAAAGTAGAAAGCACAACGCACACCGCACAAACCCTAAACCCTAAACCCTTAACCCTTTCTCCAGAAGTGTCGCTACCTCTGCCTCTGCCCTGCCTCTCCTACCACCCTAAACCCTAAACCCCTGAACCCTAAACCCTAAACCCCTGAACCCTAAACCCTAAACCCTAAATCCTAAACCCTAAACCCTAAGCCCGCAAACCCTAAACTCGAATACCAGATGACTACCGGTTTGAAGGCTTCCAGTAAACTTCAGAAAGTTGGAACATGGTTTAAGGATGCGAGCTGGGATTCCCTTTAGTATACCTTCTGGGGTTTAGGGTTTAGGGTTTAGGGTTTAGGGGATAAGGATGTTCCAACTTTTTGGGGTTTACTGTAGGGCTTCGTCCAGGCCAGGGGGACAACAATTCCCCACACGACGGCGACGTCGATTCCCGAAGACCTTCGTTGGAAGCTGGTCTTCTAGATCCCAGCCACAAGGTTTAGGGTTTAAGATTAGGTTTCGGGTTGAGGGTTTCGGGTTTAGGGTATAGGGTATAGGGTTTCAGGGTTCAGGGTTCAGGGTTCAGGGTTTAGGCTTTAGGGTTTAGGGTTTAGGGTTTAGGGTTTAGGGTTAAGGGTTTAGGGTTTAGGGTTTAGGTGTTGGCTTAAAGGGGTCTCTATGAGGGAAGATTCAAAGGGAAAGCACAGGCCCTCTTGTAACCCTAAACACGAAACCCTGGGCTTTAGGCTCCTGGACTCAAGGTGGAACCTTGGGTTTAGGGTTAGGGTTTAGGGGTTAGGGGTTAGGGTTTAGGGTTTAGATTGGGTTTAGGGTTTAGGGTTTAGGGTTTAGGGCTTAGGGTTTAGGGTTTAGGGTTTAGGGTTTAGGGTTTAGGGTTTAGGGTTTAGGGTTTAGGGTTTAGGGTTTAGGGTTTAGGGTTTAGGGTAGGGTCCGCCGAACCTGGCAGCGTGTTGGATGGGAAAAGGAGGTGAAAACCTCCCTCTTTCCCTCCGAACCCCCCCAAAACGCAGGGGGGGGGGGGTAGGGGGGGGTACCCGGGCAGCTTTTCCATGGAGGGCCAGGCCACCCGCACCGCATAAACTCACGGACCATAGGCGGTTTCGCACAGGAAAAAACCCACCCACCTACCCCCCCCTACCCCCCCCCCCCCTGCCCCCCTACCCCCCCTACCCCCCCCCCCTCCCGGTTGCGCTAAGTGATGGGGGCTTGGCTTCAACCCCAACGTTTGTTTCCCCGACCTACGCAGCATGACGCTCACGCACCAAACCTCAGCCCCAGCCCACCCCAACCCCCTCCCCCTTCCCCCCCCCCCGCCCTCACCCCCCCCCCAGTCCACACTGCCGCTAACCCTTCTTTCCCTAAACCCTACACCCTACACCCTAAACCCTAAACCCTAAACCCAACTTGGTCCGAGTCTAGTGGGCCGATCTTGGCCTTATGGGCACTAGTTCTCCAAAACTGTGGCGGGGGTTGGGGTCCTGAGAACGTCAAACTCCTGTGGGCTACAAGAGGCTTTCAAAGGATTGGCCCACAGAACTTGCCTTCTGTCATCCAAATAAACCCAGCACGCCCTACGACAGCCAATCTTTCTACCAACGGTATAGGTCCCTACATATGGTGATTTCCCTAAATTATGGTCCTTTCGGGGGTCCTCACTATGAGGCGTCCCCTCTTATTTAGGATACCCAAAAAAGACCCTAATTCTGAGAACTCACCATCATCCCCTAATTTTCAACCCCCCCCCTACCCCCTAACATTAAATACCCCTCACTATAGTTATATTAGAGTATATTGGGGTGTTTTTAACACTATGGGGTAGGGTTTAGGGTTTAATATTACGGGGAAGGGATTCTCACCGCAGGCAATCATGACCTCATCAGCCACGTGGCCGGCGGGCCCCTAAACCCTAAACCCTAAGCCCTAAGCCCTAAGCCCTAAACCCTAAACCCTAAACCCTAAACTACCCTGAAGATCGTGTCATTGGAGCATGAGGGCTGCCATTCACCCAGTCTAAACACCTTCGAGACTTGGACCTCGAAGCCGGATAACTCATGAGGGAAACCCCAAACCCTTTCACTTCTAAACCCTAAACCATTTAAACCCCAAACAAATCTTCAGGGTTTAGGGTTTAGGGTTTAGGGTTTAGGGTTTAGGGTTTAGGGTTTAGGGTTTAGGGTTTAGGGTTTAGGGTTCAGGGTTTAGGGTTTAGGGCCCCTATAAGCCCTCAACCCTCAACCCCCAAAGCCCCAAAAACCTCCCCCACTTGAGCCGTTGGCAAGCTCCGGCCAGCAAGTCCGGGCGCGGACGGCCTCCGAGGACGCAGGTGTTAAGGGTTTGGGTTTAGGGTTTAGGGTTTAGGGTTTAGGCTTTAGGCTTTAGGGTTTAGGGTTTAGGGTTTAGGGTTTAGCAGTTTAGAAGCTTGGGATTCAGAAGTTTCGAAGATTCGAAGTTTAGGGTTACGAGTTTTGCCGGGAGTTGGTGGCTCAGGGCGGCATTGCGGGCAACCCTTGCGAGGACTTTGGGGACTTTAGGCTGTACAGGGTGTAGAAGGTTTACGGTTCAGGGTTTCAGGTATAAAGTCCCCTGTAAGTGGCCCTAAATCTGCCTTAGCCTGGAGGTTTTCGGGTTCTACGACAGGACTGGCGTGGATCTGGGATCGCTTCGACATGCTGGACATGACGGTAGGGTTTTGGGGTTGCGCGTCCGAAAACAACCTTATACAGCGATTTCTTGGACGTAGATGGCGTTGCAGCTCTGTGTATGGTCTGCGAACTTTCGCAGATGTAGGGGGTTGAGGCCCAACACTTCAAACCCTCATACTCACATCTGCAAGGGCTTAGGGCTTACGGGACCCTACATAAACCCTGAAGCTACGCGCGCATGCTTACCTCCGAAGGGCAGTGGGACGCTGGCTTTGACGAGGCTTTTCGGAGTGTGGAGGCATTGAGGATTTCAGGCTTCAGGGTTCGAAGGGGGCAGGATTTGAAGGATTTTGGGAGTCGGGGTCTTTAGGAATACCTGGGGGATTGTAAGCCTTTGGGAACCGGCTAGAAGGCTTGGAGGGCCCAAGCTTTACCAGATCTACCGTTAAGAAGGGCTCAGGGTTTAGGGTTTCGGGTTTAGGGTTTAGGGTTTAGGGTTCAGGGTTTAGGGTTTAGGGTTTAGGGTTTAGGGTTTAGGGTTTAGGGTTTAGGGTTTCGGGTGAGAGTCGGGCTAGGCAGTCGCGCCTGGCGGTCGCATGCTCCTCTTCATCCAGCCGCCTTCCAGCTTCCAAAGTCCAAAGTGAACCGTTTTGGGTTGAGGCCTTAGGGGTTTAGGGTCTCCCTGGAACCTGAGTCCCAAAACCCTACGTCCCAACATGGGGTTAGGGCTTAGGGCTGAATAAGCCCTGCAACCTCCGCCTCTGCCAAGAGCAACTCCCCGGTTTAGCGTGCTCATATATCCGTGCGACTGTGGGGGGGCACCGGTCTGAGAATTCTTAGGCTGTCGGGTTTCGGGGCTTCGGGCTTTAGGGTTGAGGATTCGTTTGGGAACCCTAAACCCTAAACCCTAAACCCTAAACCCTAAACCCTAAACCCTAAACCCTAAACCCTAAACCCTACACCCCAAGCCGGTCAACCCTGAGTCCTACAGTAAACCCTTCCTGGCCTACACCCGAGCCGGAACCCTCAATGGGCTGCTCTTGGGGGCAACTTGGGATGCTCCTAAAGCCCTGAGAACCAAGAGGGCCCGTTTCGGGTTTAGGGTTTAGGGTTTGGGGTTTAGGGTTTAGGGTTTAGGGTTTAGGGTTTAAGGTTTAGGGTTTAGGGTTTAGGGTTTAGGGTTTAGGGTTTGGAGTTTAGGGTTCAGGGTTCAGGGTTCAGGGTTCAGGGTTTAGGGTTTAGGGTTTAGGGTTTAGGGTTTAGGGTTTAGGGTTTAGGGTTTAGGGTTTGGGGGGGCGACGCACCTGAAGACTTCTTCCGGCATTGGTATCCTGATCTCGTCCCAGGATGCGTTGGGCATGACCTCGCAGACCCTAAACCCTTAACCCTTAACCCTTAACCCTGCGTGGCAGACCCTCTAAAGAGTGCCAACGCCGTCGGGCTACTCTCCAACGCCATCGCGGAAGCTTCTGGACAAGCAACCGCCCTGATACGGACAAAAAACCACAACCTGGGCCCTAAAACCCTCTACAACGCAGAATACCTTAAAGCCCCAAACCCTGACTCCTTCAACAAAAAGCCTGGAAACCCTAAAACTAAACCCGAAACCCTTAAACAATTCTTTCTGGAAGCCCGAATCCCGAAACCCTTAAACAAAACGGTCAAATATCTGGAAGCCCTACACCTTTTGAGAAAAAGACCTCGAAGCCCCGATTCCCTGAAAAACCCTGAGCCCTAAACCCTAAACCCTAAACCCCTACACCCGAAACACCAAACCCTAATCCCTACCCCCAAACCCCAAACCCTAACCCCCAAACCCCAAACCCAAAACTCTAAGCCCCTAAACCCAAAACCCTAAACCCCTAAACCCCAAACCCGAGGTTCTTAGGGCATTTAAGGGGCGTATAAGTGGGTTATAAGTATAGTTATTCTTGAGTGATAAGTACCATGAACCTCCAAGTAAACCTCAAACCCTAAACCCCAAACCCCAAACCCCAAACCCGCAGCCCTAAACCCTAAACCCCAAACCCTAAACCCGCAGCCCTAAACCCCAAACCCTAAACCCCAAACCCTAAACCCTAAACCCCTACACCCTAAACCCTCAGCCATGAACTCCATGTCGTGGCACCGGATCCACGAGGCGCTCCTGCGTATAGGTGCAGACGGCGGCGCCGCCTTAGAGCTATGGGGAGGCTGGGGTTTAGGGTTTAGGGGTTTAGGGTTTAGGGCTTTAGGGTTTAGGGTTTAGGGTTTGGGGTTTAGGGTTTAGGGGGTTGGGGGTTTGGGGGTTTGGGTTTTTGGGGTTTGGGGTTTAGGCCTCAAACCTCAGCACCCTAACCCCTAAAACCTAAAAACCCTACAACCTAACACGCCCCCTTTTGGAAGAACAAATGCCTACAAAACATGAGTCACACCTCAGTAACACCTCCATAACACCTCAATAACACCGCAATAACACCTCAATAACACCTCAATAACACCTCCACAAATCTTTTCAAACGTCAAAACCTTCCACTTGGGAAGCCCCACAATTCGAAAAGACCCCATGGAGACCTCCCTTGGAAACGCCTGAAGCACCCAGAAACCCGTTGAAAAAGGGGCCTTCGTCTGGCTTATGTTGCGTAAAAATTCAGGGTCTGGGGCCATATGGCTTAAGAAACTTATGGGGTCTCAAAACCCGACACCCCTCAGACGTCTAAGACCCTTCCCCGAGGGTCATCTCCCAAGTGGCAGTAGCAGATCTCTTCGGCATGGCAGACCTCTATAGACGAGGCATTCGCGGGGATCGTCACAGGGATCACGAAGCCTGGGGAGGGCGTGGGGAGCAGGGCAGATAGGGTTCAGGTTTTCAAGGTTCAGCTTCTACCCAGAAAACTCCCTACCCTGAAGCCCCTAGGCCCAAAACCCACCAAGCCCTATAATTTCCCAGGAGCATGATTCGCGAGCTCATGAGCCCGTAAAGCCCAGTCTGTTGGGAAGTGATGGAAATGAGAAAGGCGCACAAAGGTAAGGGAAATCGATGTAATGAATGATGCAGGCCTTTTGTCCCTTGTGCAGACATGCCCCTTGACTATACTTTGCTTATTGGGGACGTTTACCTGTTCTGTCTTCGTTCACACGCCGATGATTCTACTGTCTTTTGTCTTTGAGCCCTTCTCCATTTCAACCCTCTTGTGCAACTCATTTGATTTAAGTGTGAATTCATGGACCATCAGATGAAACGGCTCTAGGAAGAGAATTGGATACAACTCCCAAACCCTAAACTCCCGAAAAGGAAGGCAACCCCCTTCATTCTCAGTTGTCCAGTAACCTGGGGGAACCTTTGGTATTTCATAAGGGTTAGAATACCCCAAAACAACCTTGAAGGTGACCTACTCTACTATACTAAGAATAAGCACAAGTAGCGCACACACGCACACACACACACACACACACACACACACACACACACACACACACACACACCCCTACACACCTACACCTAAACTCTAATCCAAAACCAGCGGCTCGGAAGCACGTTGTAGCTGGCGGAGAACTTCTCACCGGTCTCCCAGAATTCCTGAGTGGGTAGGGTTTAGGGTTTAGGGTTGAGGGTTTAGGGTTTAGGGTTAGGGTTTAGGGTTTAGGGCTTAGGGTTTAGGGTTTAGGGTTTAGGGCTTAGGGAGCAAGAGTTCTAAGAAATGGGCGGAGGTCTTCGGCTTCATATTTACCATCGGGAGGAATTCACGACCGACACCAGTAACATCAACCCCAAGTCCCAAGAAGGTTTAGGGTTTAGGGTTTAGGGTTTAGGGTTGAGGGTTGAGGGTTGAGGGTTGAGGGTTGAGGGTTGAGGGTTGAGGGTTGAGGGTTGAGGGTTGAGGGTTGAGGGTTGAGGGTTGAGGGTTGAGGGTTGAGGGTTGAGGGTTGAGGGTTTAGGGCTCAGGGTTGACGGTTTAGGGGTTGCCTAAGCACCCCAGCACCCCAGCACCACCCCCCCCCCCCCCCCCCCCCAAAAAAAAAAGAAAACCTTGCCCGACACCCCCATCACCCTGAAAAGAACCCTGAGGCCCCCAAATGAACGGCCCAAAAAAACATTTTGCTTCGAACATCCCCACCCAAAACCCCCAGGGACACTCTGGGGTTGGGCACTCTGGGGTTGGGCGAGGAGTAGGGCGAGGAGAATTCGACTGGGCGAGGAGAAGGGTGGGGAAGAACCAAAACAGTTGGAGCCCAACTTCCTGAATGTCCAAACCCCTGCATATGAGAGGGCCTATATCTAGGGTCTAGGGTTTAGGGTTTAGGGTTTAAGGTTTAAGGTTTGAGGTTTAAGGTTTAGCGTGATTAAACGCTTTCCCGTGCTCTTCACCCCGCCTGCTTCAGGAAGTGCGGAGGCAACACAGCGCCCGGCCGGTGGTAGCCCCGTGGGAGGCCGGCGCGCAGGTGAGGGTCTGCCTTCCGAGGGTTTAGGGCATAGGGTGTAGGGTTTAGGGTTTAGGGTTTAGAGTTTAGGGTTTAGGGTTTAGGGTTTAGGGGACCCTAAACCCCAAACCCTGGTTTGTGAAGGTTTAGGGCTTCGAGATGTCTACAGCCTATACCCTAGAACTGTTTGTATGACACCCGAAACCCTTGCAAACCACGAAACCCTGAGAACCCCGAAGCCGAATCAAAGCCGGAACCTCTAAAGCTTATCGGCCCAAAAAAACATGCTCCCAGCAAATCCTAGTCTCTGAACCCCCGGAGAGTTTGCAAGTTGGAGTGTAGGCGGGTACCCTAAACCCCCACACCCCCAAACCCTAAACCCTAAACCCGAAGCCCTAAGCCCTAAACCCTAAGCCCTAAGCTGCCTCCCAGGAGTTGACCTCAAGCGCCGCATCCAGGGCAAACTGCCGAAAGCCTTCACTCGCCTCACTTTGAGACGTCTGACTTTGGGGGTGAATTCTTGGGCTTAGGGTTTAGGGTTTAGTGTGTAGGGTTTAGGGTTTAGGGTTTAGGGTTTCGGGTTTAGGGTTTAGGGTGTAGGGTGTAGGGTGTAGGGCTTAGGCTCAGGGATGATCTTGGTAGCCCAGCAACCGTAAAAAATAAGGGTACCCTTTGTGGTTACTGTATAAGGAAAACTTGAACACAAAAGGGTACAGGGTACCATTGGGTACCAAGTGTTTAGGGGTCGAGGGTGTAAAAGTAAAAAAAAGTTGGGGGGTTAGGTCTAGAGTTCAGAAACCTTATGGATTTAAGGATCAGGGTGGCTCTTCGTGGTACCGCCCTAACCAAGGATCATGTGGCGGGGGGATCCATGATTTAGGGTTTCGGGTTCAGGGTTTAGAGGAGAGGGAGAAGACCTTCAGGGCTCGGGTTGACGAATAGCTTGCAGCTTGGGAGGAAGAGGGGGTGAAGGGGAGAGGATTCTTAATGGCGCTGCCTTCGAACAAAAAACCTGGTTCTGCCGCGTACTATGAACTCCTCGATCTTGAACACTAATGCCCTGGACCCCTGAACCCTGAACCACTGCTCCAGTCGCCCGCCACTTCTCCAGCACAGCGGAAGGGAGGTCGCCGACAATTCGCGCGGTGACCTGCTGCGAAAGGGCCGGGGATCTGAGGTGTTGGGGCCTCAATCCGATAAACATCCCACAACTCCCCAACCCTAAACCCTCAACCCGAAAAACCCTAAACCCTCAACCCGAAAAACCCTAAACCCTCCCCCCCAAACCCCAAACCCCAAACCCCAAGCACCAAACCACCAAACCCTAAACCCTTAACCCGAAACCCTAAACCCTAACCCCCAAACCCTAAACCCCTAAAACACCCCCCCAAACCCCCCATGGCGCACCAGCACTTCGGCCCGGGTTTGCGCGGAGGCCCAGAAGCAGTGCGCGGAGGGCTTGGTGGTGGGGAAGCAGCCACACTCCGCCTCTGGCACCGATGAGCTGTTCTCCGGCTCCTGAGGTTGTGGTGTAGGGTGTAGGCCTTTAGTGTTTAGGAGCTTAGGGTTTAGGGTTGGGCTGAGCAGGTTGTTCGACACGACCTCTGTGCGCCAAGAGCAGGAGAAGAAGATGTTGGAAAGGCTGGAGGAGCGAACGCGCTAGTTGGCTACCGCCCACGTGCGGCTCAAGGACTCGGATTGCGATGATTTCCTTGAGTTTCCGGAGCCGGAGCCTTCTCCCAAAGCGGCGTCCAAGGAGGAAGTTGCTCAGGCGAGGCACGTTTGTGCCCTTGTGCCTAAAAACACAAAGCGGGCACATTTTTCGCGGTTCTGGGCACGTTCTTCGTGGTTTTGGGCACGTTTGCCGTGGGCACCCTTTTTCTGGGCATCGGCACAAACTTTCGTGGTTTTGGGCACGGTTTTCATGGTTGTTGGCACGCTTTTCGTCTGGCCTTGGGCTTTAGGGTTTAGGGTTTGGGGTTTAGGGTTTTGGGGTTTAGGGTTAGGGTTTTGGGGTTTAGGGTTTAGGGTTTTGGGGTTTCGGGTTTACGCTTCTGTTGGGCCTCGGGCTTTTGGGTTTAGGGCCTCTTGGGTTTAGGGTCTAGGGCTTAGGGCTTAGGGCTTAGGGCTTTGGGCTTTGGGCTTTGGGCTTTGGGCTTTGGGCTTTAGGGTTCTGGGTCTCGGGTCTACAGAGGGCTCTGGATTTCAGCAGTTAGGGCTTTGGGCTGCGGGAGTTGATGCAGAGTCTGAGCCTAAAGGGTTGTAGGGTTCAGAGCTTACCTATGAGATGTTAAGGGCTTAGAAAACACCGAAGGGTCATACCACAAACCCCAGCCCTAAACCCCAAACCCCAAACCCCAACCCCGAATCCTAAACCCTAACCCCTAAACCCCAAACCCCAAACCCTAAACCCCAAACCCTAAACCCTAAATCCTGAACCCGTCCAACGGAGGGAGGCAGGGTCCTCGTCCACCCGGCCGATTCGCATTAGCGGCGTTTCGAGGCTTATCTGGCAGAGGTGAACGGTACAGGCGCCAAACCTGGCAAGCCGGGGCTTAGGGCCAATCTGGGGCTCAGGGCTTTTAGGGTTTAGGGTTTAGGGTTTAGGGTTTAGGGTTTAGGGTTTAGGGTTAGGGTTTAGGGTTTAGGGTTTAGGGCTCAGGGCCATGTGGCAGGATGTCGAAGTTCGGCCATTTCGATGCTCTAGCCGCACGTAAGTTCAAATTCTGGAAATACTGGCTGTTTTGCCCATCCTACCGCCTTTCATTTTGTCCGAGGGTGATCACCCTCCTGCCCATAAAGAGTATGTTGGCGTGCCCTCAGCATCAGGGCTTAGGGTGTAGAGTTGGAACAAGTTGGGGCTTGGGGTGTGAGGGCATTCAGTGAGCTTCGGGGTTGTTTAGGGTTTGTTTAGGTTTTAAGGGCTGAAGCGGGGCTTCAGGACTTCAGGCCTTTCACAGCTTCAGGCAGTTTAGGACCTCCGAGTAGTTTAGGGTAGCTAAAGGATACCCTAAACCCTGAACCCTAAACCCTAAACCCTAAACCCTAAGGATTTGGGGCCTTAGGGCAACTCGGGGCCTGTGAGCTTTTGACCTTGTAGGTTTTGGGCTCCGGTGCTTTAGGCCTTGACAGGCTTCGGGTTCGGGGTTCAGGGTTCAGGGTTCAGGGTTGAGGGTTTAGGGTTTAGGGTGTAGGGTTTAGGGTTTAGGGTTTAGGGTTTAGGGTTTAGGGTTTAGGGTTTTGGACACCTAGAACCCTGGGCCTCCCGCACACCTTGAGGGACCCTCTAGGGTTTTTGCTTTACCTCCAATCACACCTTTTCCAGCGCTACGCGGTTTAGGGTTTTGGGTTTCGGGGTAATACACCCCTACACCCTAAACCCTAAGCCCTAAACCCTAAACCCTAAACCCTAAGCCCTAAACCCTAAGCCCTAAGCCCTAAACCCTAAACCCGAAAGCCCAACCTAAACCCTAAACCCTAAACCCTAAACCCCAAACCCTAAACCCTAAACCCTAAACCCTAAGCCCTAAACCCTAAGCCCCAAGCCCTAAACCCTAAACCCTAAACCCTAAGCCCTAAACCCTAAACCCTTTTGGAAATGCGAGGGGCTGCGCTTGCTTCTGGTGCTTCACGAAGTTGCAGACGCGCATCTGGTCGTTGGTGAACCGCTCTTCCGCCCCGGCGAAGAGGTCGGAGACCGCCTGGCAAGCCAAAGAGGGGTTTAGGGTTTAGGGTTTAGGGTTTAGGGTTTAGGGTTTAGGGTTTAGGGTTTAGGGTTTAGGGTTTAGGGTTTAGGGTTAGGGTTTTGGGTTTTGGGTTTAGGGTTTAGCGTTTAGGGTTTAGGGTCTAGGGTTTAGGGTTTAGGGTTTAGGGTTTAGGGTTTAGGGTTTAGGGTTTAGGGTTTAGGGTTTAGGGTTTAGGCTTCGAGGGCTGAGGTAAGCGGTGTAACACCGCCAAGCTTGAGCCTAACAGCTTGTCAGGCTGAGGCCGTGCTAGGCTTTCGGATGTAGGGCATTCTGGGGGAGATCATATCTTTGAGTTCCATGACTGCCGGTGGTGCTGCAGGAAATGCCGTAGGAGAAACTCCCCTAAATCTCAGCCGCCGCCGGCAAACCGCTTGTAAGTGAGGAAGGTTGCTGTGACTGCTCGGAAACAGGGAAGCGGGAGCAGATCCCGAACAACGAAGCTCTAGGCTTTCCTTGCTTGGGTCCATGGAAGTCCCTGCTATGAAGCTATCCCTGAAAACGAGACTCCTTATGCATGTCAGATCCCGAAGGTCATCTAGAATATGATACTGGAATGAACATAGGCCTGAGCACGATGCATTCGATGCATTCACTGACTCTTCAGCCTACACGCCATTCTGGGTTCTACTACTATGGCAAAGCATGAACCCTTATCAAACCCCAAGACCAAAAACTCAGAACCCCAGTCCCAGATCGGCCTCGACGGAATTGAGGTTGTGGTCCGTCGGGAACATCTGCGGCACCCCTGCGTCCACCGAGATCTCGTTGGCGACCCAAACGGCGAAGCCAACGACCATCCTCAACAGGGTTTATAGGGATTAGAGGGGTTAAGAGGGTTGATAGGGTTTATAGGGGTTTTTGGGGTTTACAAGGTTTGTAGGGTTTCTAGGGCTGAGAGGGTTTGTAGGGTTTATAGGGTTTAGAAGGTTATTTTGGGTTTATAGGGTTTATAGGCTTTATAGGGTTTTTAGGGTTTGTAGGGTTTGTAGGGTTTATAGGGTTTATAGGGTTTATAGGGTTTGTAGGGTTTACAGGGTCTAGGGTTCATAGGGTTTCGTTCTTGACCCTGCGTAAATTCCAAGCTCGATTCCCGAACATGAACAATCTGAGCCCGGAGCCAAGCCGCTGCCCTAACCAGGCACACTGGCAGCCCCACGACGACGGTGTCAACCATGCGCTAAACCCTACTAGCTACTAAACCCTACTAACTACTAAACCCTAAACCCTAAACCCTAAACCCTAAACCCTACAAACTACTAAACTACTAAACGACTAAACTACTAAACTACTAAACGACTAAACTACTAAACTACTAAACTACTAAACTACTAAACTACTAAACTACTAAACTACTAAACTACTTTTCTAAACTACTAAACTACTAAGCTACTAAACTACTAAACTACTCAACCCTCAACCCTCAACCCTCAACCCTCAACCCTCAACCCTCAACCCTCAACCCTCAACCCTCAACCCTCAACCCTCAACCCTAAACCCTAAACCCTAAACCCTAAACCCTAAACCCTAAACCCTAAACCCTACCCACGACCACCGACCAGGTTTCACAACGCAGCACACAGGAGTTTGAACAAACACATAACACTAAACCCCAAAAGCCCTAAAACACTCAGCCCTAAACCCCAGAAGGCCCAAGAAGCAAGATGAAGAAGGCGAAGCAGCTGGCACTGTGGGCCACAAGGCACCTTCAAGTCCGTTGAAGGCGGGACATCTGGAGCTGGAGGGGCTTGGGAGGCCTGAGGGCTGTTTCGGGGCGTAGACTGAGAGAGTTGCAACCGTTGTAACCCGAAACCGCGGGCCTTGAGACAAAGTTGTAACCCTGCACCCTGAACCTAAAAACACATCAAGCACTAAACCCCTCAAACCCTGAAACCCTGAAACCCTCAAACCCTAAAACCCTCAAACCCTCAAACCCTAGAGCCCCAAAACCCTAAAACCCTCAAACCCTAAAACCCTCAAACCCTAAAACCCGAAAATGCCTCAACCCGACCTCCTTAAACCGCAAGTGTCGGACCTCCGCAGGCAGCAGTTGCCCACACGCCGTGCGAGCCGCTGCTGCTTCTTGCCATCCGAGGCAGTCTTGCACAAGGGTTTAGGTTTAGGGTTTAGGGTTTAGGGTTTAGGGTTTAGGGTTTAGGGTTTAGGGTTTAGGGTTAGGGCTTAGGGTTTAGGGCTTAGGGTTTAGGGTTTAGGGCTTAGGGTTCAGGGTTTCCGGTTTAGGGTTTAGGGTTTAGGGTTTAGGGTTTAGGGTTTAGGGTTTAGGGCTTACGGTTTACGGTTTAGGGTTTAGGGTTTAGGGTTTAGGGTTTAGGGTTTAGGAGTAGAGTTGAGCAGGAGCACCAAGGTTGCTTGAGGGTTAGTGTTCCGACTGAAACCAAAGTCGAAGCCCAAGGTCTTCCTCAAACATCCTCAAGGCACCAGTTTAGGGTTTAGAGTTTAAAGTTTCGGGTTTAAGGTTTAAGGTTTAGGGTTTAGGGTTTAGGGTTTAGAGTTTAGGGTTTAGGGTTTTAGGGCTTAAGCAACTCTTGAACCCCCAAAAAACTAGCTCTTGGAGTTTCGGCCTCCGTGCCCCGAAGAAACCCGTATGTATGTACTCACGTCAGCTGATAAAACCCAGGGTTTAGGGTTTAGGGTTTAGGGTTTAGGGTTTAGGGTTTAGGGTTTAGGGTTTAGGGTTTAGGGTTTAGGGTTTAGGGCCCGAAACCCTAACCTACGGGTCGGAATAATTGCTACCTAGGGTCGGAATAATTACTCATGGTCTTCCCTTCTGGTCATCATACTTTAGCAACCCCCGAAAAACCCTTTTCGAATTGTTCAGGCCCCTTTTGTAACCATAAACCCTGCGCAGGGCCACCAATTTCAGGCCACACCCGGATGAATAGCCAACGAGGGCGCACTGGGGTCTGACCCGTGTGGCTCCAGGTTCAACCCCACAGGACCATGCAGTTTCCTCCTAAACCCTAAACCCTAAACCCACCCTAAACCCTAAACCCTAAACCCTAAACCCTAAACCCTGAACCCTGAACCCTAAACCCTAAACCCTAAACCAAAGCTTGGGCTCCAGGGTCCACGCCCCCTCACCACTAGGCACCCCAAGGAGCACAGGGTTTAGGGCTTTCAGGGTTCTAGGTGCTGGGGGGTTAGGGCTTAGGGCTTTAGGGTTTAGGGTTTAGGGTTTAGGGTTTTAGGGTTTGGAGCTTTCAAAACTAGCAGGTAGATTCCGGAGTGGACCTCCCGCCGGCGGCAGCAGCAGCAGCAGGAGCAGGAGCAGCAGCTACAGCATCCCGACCTTTGCTGCGGGGTTTGAGGTAGGGAGTAGGGGTTTAGGGTTCAGGGTTCAGGGTTTAGGGTTTAGGGTTTCGGGCTTAGGGCTTAGGGTTTAGGGTTTAGGGTTTAGGGATTACCGGTGGAGGGTTCAGGCTTAGGGATTAGGGCCTTGCGGTTCACAGTCCGCTGTAAGCAAAGATCAGACTCAGGGGTTGAGGCTCAGGGATCCTAAACGCCCGAAACACAAGCTAGGGGCTCAACCACCCCGAACCCCCGACCCTCGACCCTAAACCCTAAACCCCCAATCGACAACAACCCCATGGCAAAAAAAAGCAACAACAAAAGGGTTCAGGGTTTAGGGTCTGGGGTGTAGAGTTTAGGGTTTAGGGTTCCATGCAGCAATATATAGTCCGCTCTAAGGCAAGAAAGATTCAGTTCTTAGCAGCAGCCCCTAAACCCTGAATCCCCAATCCTCAACCCTCCAAAAGAGTGTTCTGGATATATACAGAAAAAATGTATATATATATATATATAGATAAACCGATACAAAGATAGATAAATAGATGGATGGATGGATGGATTGATGGATAGATATACAGATATGTGGGTAGGTTAGGGCAGTTCGGGGTTTGACCCTTACAATAGGGGGCTCCTTAGGGGTTATTCCGGGCCCTACTTAGGTAGATAGGGACGATATCAGGAATATATAGGGTTTTCTAGAGGAATCCTTAAACCCTAAACCCTAAACCCCAAACCCTAAACCCTAAACCCTAAACCCTAAAAGGGCTTCTTGCAAGAGGCAGCTTGTCATTGAGGATCAAGAGCGGCGGCAGGCCCACGAGCAGGTAGAGGTAAGCCCCCAGGATGCCTTAGGGTTTAGGGTTTAGGGTTTGGGGTTTAGGGTTTAGGGTTTAGGGTTTCTAGGGTTCAGGGTTTAGGGTTTAGGGTTTCGGGTTTAGGGTTTAGGGTTTAGGGTTTAGGGTTTAGGGTTTAGGGTTTAGGGTTTAGGGTTTAGGGTTTAGGGTTTACAACCCCACGTAACCACAAAATGAAAACAAAATACATAACCTTTGAAAAAAGATCTAAGCCCAAAAAAACCCAACCCCCCCCCAGGACAAGAGGCCGATGCACATGACCCCAAGCCCCTAAACCCGAAACCCCAATCACCCTAAACCCTAAACCCTAAACCCTCCTGAAGGACAAGAGGCAGAGGCCCATGAAGAAGCCGAACTCGCGCAGCGCCCGCAGCACCGAGGCGAGGTTCGCGAAGAAGGAGGCCGCGGTCCTTTCTTTGCAGGGGCCTTTTTTCTGGGGCTTAGGGTTTAGGATTTAGGGTTTAGGGTTTAGGGTTTAGGGTTTAGGGTGATTGGGGTTTGGGGTTTGGGGTTTAGGGTTTAGGGTTTAGGGCTTGTACGTGGGGAAGGGTCTAGGGTTTGGTGGCTTCAGGGCTTCAGGACGAAGACGAAGGGTGTCAAGCGATTCGGGTTTGTAGGGCTGAGGGTTTAGGGTTTAGGGTTTAGGGTTTCGGGTTTAGGCTTTAGGGTTTAGGGCTTTAAGGCTCTTCAGAGGCTTCAGGATTGAGCTTTGGAGGCTTCGGGTTGTGCGGCCAAAAGTTGCGAACATAGAGAAGCTGTGTGGAACCCTCATCGTTAGGGTTGGAGGCTAGGATTAGGGATTTGCCTGTGCTTTCATTCGAGGTACGTACTTCCGTCGCTCTTATTCTTACCGTTTTTCTCAGCAGTCTATGGGGGAGGAGACCCTGCGCGTCGGCGCACAGAATTGGCTGCACTGTGGAAATAATCCATTTTGGGAGGATTTGTTCTTGACCTTCTAGGTCACCTTTTCGACCTGCTGGCCCGTTTTCAACGGGGCGCCCTAAGATATGTGAGGAATATCCGGTCAGAGCGAAGGGGCTTAGGGGAGGCCTTTTGGGCCCATAAACTTGGATCTAGACCCCATGTAGGCGCGTGCCATTAACTCTGCGCCCAAAACATGAAACCTGAGCCCCAGAAACTTGTGATCCCCACCCTCTCCCCGCCCCCACCCCCAAGATCCCAATGCCCCTAGACCCAACACCCCCCGAAATCGACAAGCACTTACATGTTTCCCCCTTGTTGTGTTATTTTGCCCTTTTATTGTTTAAGGGGGGGGGGAGAGAGGTCCTACTTAAGAATCAGTTTTTCGCCATTTTTATAGGGGGTTTAAGAGACTCCTACTTCAGAATATTCTTCAGAGGCTAGCTCAGGCAGCTGGGGCGCGTAAATGTGGTCGCCAAGCACGCCAAGCCGGCGTTACAGTAAAGGAACCTTGAATGCGCAAGCAGAAGGTTTTTTGTACGGTTTATAGGGGTTATAGGGTTCATAAGCTTTATAGGGCTTACAAGGGTTTAGAAGGGTTTATAAGGGTTTATGAGGGTTTGTAAGGAGTTATATCGGTTGACAAGGGCTTATGAGGGTCTACAGGGTTTGCAGGGTTCAAGGTTCGGGGCTTGGGGTTCTAGGGGATGGAGTGGTGGTGGCCTTGAGATTGGGGCACTTGCAAGTCTAGCTAGTGTTCATTATCGGGTTCTTAAGGGAGGGAGGTTCAATGGGGGTCCGTAACCCAAGATTCTCTCATACTCCCTACTACTCCCTAAGGCCCCCTAAGCTTCACTAAGGTTTCCTAAGGTTCCCTAGGTACCTAATTTCCTTGAATGTGACCGGAGGATCCCTCCCCACTACTCCCTAAGGTTCCCGAGGGACCTACCCCCCCTCGAACCCCCCCTTCCCTTAAGAACCCTGTATTGCCCGACACTCCGAAACCCGTGCGCGGAAGACCAGAACCCAGAACGAAAAAAAAACACCGAAACCTTAAACCGCCAAAACCCGAAAACCCCTGCACATCTTCCCCCGAGGCGCTTCACTCGCGCCACCGTATCTGTCCCGAAGCGGGTTTTAGAGGCCTTGTGCTGCTTTGTTGTTTTTAGGCATGGGGTTTAGGGTTTCGGGTTTACGGTTTGGGGTCTAGAGCGTCTAGGGTTCACAGCTTTGAACCGTAGACCCTGCACCCGAAACCGGGACATGAAGGAGGGCGACTTCTGCAAGAGAGCTTCTCGTTTCCAGTCTCTGAGGGATGTAGATGTTGGAATGTCGGACTTTTCCCCCTAAACTCCAAACCCCCCCCCCAAAAAAAAAAAAAAAAAAAATTACCTCTGAGCACTCCTTGGGAAGCCTCGCGCTTTCGAAATTTCCACCAAAAGGACGTCTTTTGCATGTCGGAGCTTCAGGTTGAAACCCGGAGACTTGGGGATCTTGAAGGGCTCGAAGGGCTTCTTCGCGGGGCTTCGATTGAGATGTTGCCCCTTGTCGACTAACAGTCCTCAATAGGGAGTATAATCGGGGGTACGAAAAAATCCCGATGAAGGACTGCTAGTATAAGGGTTGGGGAAGGTGCAAAGCCCTGCACCGAAAGACCCCAAGAAGCCCCAAGCCCCAAAGCCCTGAACTCCAACATTTGCGGAAGATCGTAACAACAAGACCTGCCGCCAGCCTGGCACCCCCCCACCCCCCAACAAGCCACTAGAACCTCGCATTGCTAAACCCTAAAACCCTACCCTCAAGCTCGAAACAACGAAAGAACACGATGCCGCCCTAAAACAACCCCAATAGCCAACAAAAACCCGAAACAACAAATCCTGTGCGCCTCCCAAAAGGTCACGAAGACAAGCACGACGTCGGCACCCAAGCCGGTGATGAGGAAGACGGAGAGGAAGGCAACCCCTTGCTCAATGAAAGTTTGAGGGCTTTAGGGTTTTAGGGTGTAGGGTTTAGGGTATTAGGGTGGAGGGTCCACCCGAGCTCTGACTGCCCCAACCCATAATCAGGCCAAGGATAGCTAACAACGAGTCTTATCTGGGACCCTCTTTCGGGGAATTTCGGGTTTAAAGGGCCTGGGACAAGCTGGAGGCTGCCGACCGGGTTCAGGGTTGAACACAACAGCCCCAAAAAGGCTCAAGGGCCTTAGGTTTGGGTTCGAAGAGGTTTGGGCGTGATTTACAAGAGCTCGGGCAAAGGTCACCTGCCTAATTGCAGGTTCACTGACCCTGCTACAGACCCTATGCCCTCAGACCTACACAACCCAAAACCCAAACCCAAAACCCCAACCCCTCTTGAACCCCTCGGTCCTGTGACCTCTCTCGACCCGCTCAGCAGTGCAGAAGCGAGGTATGCGGAGGGAATCGCCAAGATGGTCAGCCTCAGAAGTTCAGGGTGTAGGGGCCAGGGTTTTAGGGTATAGGGGTTTAGGGTTCAGGGTCTGGGAGACTGAACCCCAAAACCCTAAACCCTGCTCTGTGATTTACAGCCCCGGGCATTGGGCACAGGGACTTCGGCACAGAACTGCACCGAGGATCTTGGGGCTTGGGGCTTGGGGCTTGGGGTTTAGGTTTGCAATCTGAAACAGAGCTTCGGGCCTGGGAGCGTCAGCTGAAACCCCGCCTCAAGCTCAAAGCCCTCACCTAGACCCTCCAGGCCCCTATGCTGATCCGCGAGGTTTAGGGTCCAGGGTTTAGGGTTTAGGGTTTACGGTTTAGGGTTTAGGGTTAGAGTTTAGGGTTTAGGGTTTAGTGTTTAGGGTTTAGGGTTTAGGGCTTAGGGTTTAGGGTTTAGGGTTCAGTCCCCTAAGCTGATCTTTTGCCACATCTTCCCCCAGCCGAAACCCGCAGGTGCAATCCAAGGCCAGCTAAGGAACAGGATCGAGCCACAGCTCAGCAGGGGAGATCCTGCATGAAGCCTGGCCAACATGAGTCGTAAACCGGTTTAAGGTTTCGGGTTTAGGGTTTAGGGTTTAGGGCGCTTAGGGTTTAGGGTTTAGGGTTTAGGGTTTAGGGTGCATTAGGGTTTGGGTTTGGGGTTTAGGGTTTAGGGTTTAGGGTTTAGGGCCTCAAATGCCGCCCACATGAAGGGCTCAGGGCTTCCCTGCAACTGAAACCTCGCAGACATGAAAACCCTCGACCTCGCAGTCCTAAACCCTAAACCCTAAACCCTAAACCCCAAACCCTAAACCTTAAACCCTAAACCCCAAACCCTAAACCCTCAACCAAGCCAGTGAGGCGTGAGGTAGATGACGATGAAGCTCACGGAGCCGATGGCCATGAGCAAGTCCGCCTCGGGTTCTCTTCGAGATTCGGGCTTGAGGGTTTAGGGTTTAGGGTTTAGGGTTTAGGGTTTGGGGGTTGGGGGTTGGGGGTTAGGGGTTAGGGGTTAGGGGTTAGGGTTTCGGGTTTAGGGTTTAGGGTTTAGTTCATGGTACTTACAACTGTACTTCAATCATGGACATCCAAAATGCGTTGCAGAAACTGAGTCGCGTTTAGGATTCAGGGTCAAGGGCTCAAGTTTCCCTAATAATTGCTTAAGAACCCCCCCATGCAATAGAAACAATCCTCCTCATAAGGGCAATATAGGGATCTTCACTTTTGGGGTTTAGGGTTCAGGGTTTAGGGTCTAGGGTCTAGGGTTTAGGGTTTAGGGTTTAGGGTTTAGGGTTTAGGGTGTGTCAGGGGAGGGCGCGCGCTCGGGTGTGAAACACCCCGGGCCGCGCGCTCGCGTTGCCCGTCAACCCACCCCGGCCACCCAAACTATACTCTATTAGGGTTTAGGGTTTATGGAATTTACTTTCTTGTGCTCTGATGCTTGCTTTGATGTTTTAAAGTTGCGCTGTTAGGGTTTAAGCTGGGGTTGGGGGTAGCCTCGGCCCTTTTCGGGCCTTCGGCGTGTCAGGGCCCGTAGAGGCCCTTATTTATTTGAAGGTCAGGGAAACCCTTTGTGTCTGCTCCTGGATTCCTTTAAGGGCCTCAATTAAGCATCGATTTCACTAATTACCAAAAAATCGCATTTTTCATTGCGGGTACGGGCATCCTGGGGTCCCCCTTCTTTTAGGGGGCCTTTTGAAGCCTTTTGAAGCATTTTGGTGGCTCTTGGGTCTTTCGGGGCCTTGTTCGGACCTTCGGCGTGTCAGGGGCCGTAGAGGCTTTATTCATTTAAAGGTCAGGGAACCTATTAATGAGTTTTTCGCCAATGAGTATTTCAATCGCTAGGGTTTAAGCTCGGGTTCGGGGTAGCCTCGGCCCTTTTCGGGCCTTCGGCAAGTTAGGACCCGTAGAGGCCCTTATTTGCTTGAAGGCCTTCGCAGGGTTTTGCGGTGTTAGGGTTTAAGCTGGGGTTCGGGGTAGCCTCGGCCCTTTTCGGGCCTTCGGCACGTTAGGGCCCGTAGAGGCCCTTATTTGCTTGAAGGCCGTCGTAGAGTTTTGCGGTGTTAGGGCTTAGGCTTCGGGGTAGCCTCGGTCTTTTTCGGGCCTTCGGCACGTCAGGGCCCGTAGAGGTCCTTGCTGATTTGGGGGGAGCCATCGATTTCAGTACTAAAAAAGAACATTTTTATTGCGGGCAGGGGTGCCTAAAAACAATGTTTTCAATATTCAAAAATCGCATTTTTCATTGTGGGCACGGACAAATCTTGTGGTCCCCCTTCTTTCAGTCGGCCTTTTGAAGCTTTTGAAGCCTTTTGGTGGCTCTTGGCGCCTCTTGGGGGCTTCCTGGGCGTGCGACTCCCTGCAAGGGCGTTAGGGGGGGGCCCGGGATTGGCCGGGGGGCGCTTGGCACAAAGGGTTACGATTTGGGGTTATACTTTAGCTACGCTAAAGGTGGTCTGGGTGCCGGCCATCCCTTAGCCGAGTACTGACGTTGTCGTAAAAAAGGCCGATGTCCGTTGGCCTGTCCAGGACAGACGGTGAGGCTTAACCCTCACCTTTCCGTTTCTCGCTCGGGCTGTAAGGCCCTCGGCCGAGCGTTCGGGGTCTGTCGCTCGACGGAAGCGACCCCTCACTTAGTTTAGGGTTTAGGGTTTAGGGTTTAGGGTTTAGGGTTTAGGGTTTAGGGTTTAGGGTTTAGGGTTTAGGGTTTAGGGTTTGGGGTTTAGGGTTTAGGGTTTAGGGTTTAGGGTTTAGGGCTTAGGGTTCAGCAGCTCCGGATCGAGCATTTTTATGGTAGTGTTATATTTACGGCTTGGATATAACACCCCCCCGCCCAGAGAATCCCATAACATTAAGAAACCATATAAAGTATCTTCATACAAAAGTTCTTTTCAACGAAGACTACGGCTACAGAACAAATTCGTTCTTAAAAATCCGCATTGCGTCACACAAAGATGAGCATCACAAGAAAAAGGGTTGGGGGTGGGGGGGGGGGGGGTGGGGGGGGGGGGGCGGGGGGGGTGTGGGGGGGTGGGGGTGGGGGGGGGTGGGGGGGGTGGGGGGGGTGTGGGGGGGGGGGGGTGGGGGTGGGGGTGGGGGGGGGACCTTACCCTTAGGCACCAAGGAATTACCCTTAGCCACGAAGAAATTGCCCTTAGCCACGAAGAAATTACCCTTAGCCACGAAGAAATTGCCCTTAGCCACGAAGAAATTACCCTTAGCCACAAAGAAATTACCCTTAGCCACGAACAAATTACCCTTAGCCACGAAGGAAATTACCCAGCCACGAAGGAAATTACCCTTAGTCACGAAGAAATTACCCTTAGCCACGAAGAAATGACCCTTAGCACCAGGAAATGGTCCTTAGCGACCAGGAAATGGCCCTTAGCGACGAAGAAATGGCCCTTAGCGAAGAAATTACCCTTAGCCACGAAGAAATGACCCTTAGCCACGAAGAAATGACCCTTAGCCACGAAGAAATGACCTTAGCCACGAAGAAATGACCCTTAGCCACGAAGGACTATAGGGTTTAAATATATATAAGAAAGAGAGGTTTAGGGTTTAGGGTTTAGGGCTTGGAGGCTCTTAAGCAAGTAGTAGTTCAGGGTGCAGGGTTTCTCGACCTCGAGACAAGCTGCCTGCAACGTGCTCCAGAGCTGCAGGGTGGCCAGCCCACCTCCTCCGGCAAGGGTGGGGGGTTAAACATTAGGGTCTGGGGTTTGGGGTTTAGGGTTTAGGGTTTGGGGTTTAGGGTTTGGGGTTTAGGGTTTAGGGTTTAGGGTTTAGGGTTTAGGGTTTAGGGTTTAGGGTTTAGGGTTGAGACCTCAGGGTTGGGACTTTGGGCTTAACGTGCGGTTTAAGGTTCCTCTTCTCTTGCGCACCCAAAATCTGAGGAGAAGGGGCCGAAGCTTCATACTTGAGAGACCTGCCAGCTTTGCGTGTTTCGGGTACACGCTGCAAGTGGCGACCTCTGGTGACGCAAGCCGAACTCCCATGCCATGCGATCAGGAATCCCTAACAAAGGACTGTTAGTATAAGGGGCAACATCCCAACCGAAAGACCTAGACCCGAAACCTTAAACGCCTTGCAAAAACCCTTCAGCAAAGAAACTTAGGATCCAAGACCTCAACCCTAGACCCTCTAAGTTTGTGGAAATGCCCAATTCCAAGTACAAGCTCGCAAGGATTGCCAGCCTTCGAAGTTTAGCTCGATGACATTCTGCCTCCAGCCCCAGTTAGGGTGTAGGGTTTTAAAGCTTCGGGCTTAGGATCCTTCATGTCCCGCAAGGATTCTTGGGATACGCCCCTCCCAAGAGAGCGAGCGAGAGAGAGAGAGAGAGAGAGACAAACAAAAAGAGACACAACTATGGAGCCTGACACGTATGACAATCGCGTCGGGTTTGTATTTTGTGGGCTTAGGGCTTAGGGCTAGGGGTGTTGTGGGTCTGCTGCGGGGGTCCGGGGAGGGGGGGGGGTTCATCTAAAACTCAAGTTCTTGTGGGGGGTCTGTTCAATATAATCCTGTAGCTCAGGGCTTAGGTTCGGGGAGCTTGACCACCTGGACCTTGAACCCTCAACCCCTACCCCCGGAAAGCTACTACAGTCCCCAGCCCCTCTGTGATGATGCAATGTAATGCTTACATTATAGAAGTGTTGGTTTTCTGGAGATATAATCCTGTTTCCTGATGAACTGTATTCTGTTCTGATAAGGACTGATATTCATGTTCCGGAGATTCCAAAAATGAACAAAAACCTAAGCCTTTATGAGTGCAATTGTTAACTAGTGATAGAACAGATACGGGCCAGTGAACAAAAGACTTTACAATTGGCCCGTCAAAATTCGAATATTTTCCTTCTCTCTCTAGAGGATAAAAAGGTAAAAGACGTGAAGGTGGATAGGATGGAGCGGAGGCAGCTGATGATTAATATTGGTCTTGGAATTCAGGTTCATGAGCTACCTTCATTCACACGTCCCCAACAATGGTCTTATAGTGAGGGCAAAAGTACGCTCTTGATTAGTCTTTATGGTGTGCATTCATTGTATTCGCGCGAATATTTTTTCTTAGATCTTGGGATTCGCGTTTAAGGGTTCCCTAAAACCCTAAACCCTGGACTAAACCCTAAACCCCAAACCCTAATCCCTAAACCCTTGTTGTTTTGGGGCTTTGGAGCTTCGGGACTGTCCATGCCTCGAATTGAAGCTGGTAAGCTTTGGCAACAGCTCCTCCGAAAGGAAAGCGTTCCATTCCTGGCAACGCTCGATGACTGACAGTTCCGGGCAAATGTTGGGGGCTTAGGGTTTAGGGTGTTTAGGGTGGTTAGGGTGTTTCGGGTGTTTCGGGTGTTTAGGGTGTTTAGGGTGTTTAGGGTGTTTAGGGTGTTTAGGGTGTTTAGGGTGTTTAGGGTGTTTAGGGTGTTTAGGGTGTTTAGGGTTTAACGTTTAGGGTTTAGGGGGGGTAGAAGACTTCCTTCGTGACTTAGTGGCGCTTAGGGGTTAGGGCTTCCTGGCTTTGCGTTGGGATGTAGGTGGGCCCGGCCCCCCAATGCCCAAACCCCCCCCCCCTCCCCGAAGCCGAATTGACTCGCATCCCTTGTGCTCAATCCCCACCACAAAAAGGCCTCCCCAATCCGAAAGACCCAAAACCTACACCCTACACCCTAAGCCCTAAACCCAAAACCCTAAACCCTAAACCCAAAACCCCAAACTGGAGCGAGCCGCGGAGGACAAGCAAAAGGCTTAAGGCGAAGCCTGGCGAGGGCTCGGGGCCGTTGCACGCGGTGAGCGCGGCCCATGCCTAGAAGGGCTCAACCCGCGTGCCAGCGTCAGTCTGGCTCCAAAGAAAATTACCCCAAACCTTAGGTTTCTAGTGACCCTGCACTGGCCCATCCTCGGACCGTTTCTGAGCTCCCGGACCATTTCAGATTTCTGGTTGAGCTTCTCCCGGATGGGTGCCCGGACCATTTCCGAGCTTTTTATTCTCCTTCCCGGAGCATTTCTGAGGTTTTTTTGGCTCCTTCCGGACCATTTTTGAGCTTGTTGGGCTTCTGCCGGACAGTTCTGAGCCTTTCTGGGCTCCTCCCGGACTGTTTGTCATTGGACTATTCCCGGACCATGTCTGGGCTTTTTTGGACCCAAAAAACCAAAGGGAGCCCAAGGCATAAACCAATGGGTCTTGTAAGCCCCGTATAAGCATCATAATTTGCAAACACCGGGCAAAAAAACCCTAAACCCGCCAAAAATCTTGTAAGCAAGGTCCCAAGAGGTCCCAGGAGGGCCGAGGTTCCAGGGGGCCACCAGGAAATCCTTTCAGGAAGCCTCCGGCCACCAGGAAATCCTTTCAGGAACCCTCCCCAATCGTCTCCAAAAACCAAAGGGAGCCCGACACAATCTTGTAAGCAGCGTCGCAGGAGGTCCCAGGACAGTCCTTCCAAAAGGTCTCCTAAAAGGCCTCCTTCGGCCAATCCCAGACCCTCCCCAATCGTAGAGAGGGTGCCGGACCAAAAACCAATGGGAGCCCAAGGCATAAACCTATGGGTCTTGTAAGCCCGGTATAAGCATCATAGTTTGGAAACACCGGGCAAAAAAAACCCTAAACCCGCCAAAAAAACCTATGGATCTTGGGGGGACAGGGAGGACTTCGCGGGGGTACCCCAGGATTTGGTCAAAGGCCGTAGCGAACGCTCCCACTACTTACACACGATATTATAAAACCCTCAACCCGCCCAAGGTGGGTGGGTGGGTTCGGAGAGCGCGTTGAACCTGGGCGCACACCGCAACATACGTCCCGCGTGGTGGTGTGCACGGAACCTTAGCAAACCCTAAACCCTAAACCCTAAACCCTAAACCCTAAACCCTAAACCCTAAACCCCAAGGCCGCCTTGGCGATGCCCGAAAGAGCCTTGCTGCGTTCGGCGCCCGAGTCGGTGATACGGCAACCTGGGAGCAAGGCTTAGGTTTAGGGCCTGCGGCTTGGGGCTTGAAGGGTTTGTAGGGTTTGTAGGGTTTGTAGGGTTTGGGGTTTAGGGTTTAGGATTTAGGGTTTAGGGTTTAGGGTTTAGGGTTTAGGGTTTAGGGTTTAGGGTTTAGGGTTTAGGTTCATGGGGGGCACCTACAAAACCTCAGGGAAGCTTAGGGAGCCTTTTGGAGTAGTAGGGAGTCTTAGGGAACCTTGGGTTACACACCCCCTTGAACCCCCAACCCTCCCTTAAGAAACACCATCATCAACAGTATCCCTATCAGAAAGGGGCCTAAAAAACTCCGACCCCTGTGTTCCCTACAACGTTGCTTCGGGCTTAGGGCGCAGTGTTTTTAAACCCTGAACCCTGAACCCTGAACCCTGAACCCTGAACCCTGAACCCTGAACCCTGAACCCTAAACCCTAAACCCTAAACCCTAAACCCTAAACCCTAGCCCTAAACCCTAAACCCTAAACCCTAAGGCGTGCTTCGGCCAGGAAGCAGAGGATGTTGAAGGCAAAGAAGGACCGCGCCGCCGCGAGGCGCGAGCCCCCCTCATAGCCGATGGGCAGGATCAGCTCCTGGTACTCCTGCCTGGGGTAGGGTTTAGGGTTTGGGGATTAGGGTTTAGGGTTTAGGGTTTAGGGTTTAAGGTTTAGGGTTTAGGTTAGGGTTTAAGGCTTAGGGTTTAGGGCTCAGGGTTTAGGGTTTAGGGTGTAGGGTTGTTTAGGGTTTAGGGTATAGGGTTTAGGGTTTTAGGGTTTAGGGTTTAAGGGTCTAGGGTTAAGGGCTTTAGGTTTAGTTGAACTTCAAGGTTTACGGGTTAAAGGGTTTAAGGGGTTAAGGCTTCAGGGGTTTAAGGGTTTAAGGGTTTCTAGGGTTTACGGGTTTAGACTTTAGTGTGTAGAGCCCCTAGACAGTTCGGGTTTAGGGTTAACCAACCTTCTGACGAGAGGAAAAAGCCGCGGCACTTGGACATCAAGACCTTCTCGACGACCTTGGGCAAGAACGCCCCTCCCTCCCCCAACAAAAAAAGTCTAAACCCGAAAACCCTAAACCCTGCCAGCTCTATAGGGCTGGGAGTTGCGGATTTCAAGGCTTCGTCTTTTGCGTTTGGGCCCCTTCCTAGCTAGTTCAGGGTTTTAGGCTCCTGCACCCCAAAACCCCAAATCCCAAACCCCAAACCCCAAACCCTAAACCCCAAACCCCCAAAAGCGCTCATCAACCCCGCGACCTTGGAGTCAAAAGCGCTATCACCCCGGCCGTCGAGACGTCGCTGGTAGTGATCCAGGTCTTCTACCTGAACAAGCGAGGTTTAGGGGTTTAGGGTTTAGGGGTGTAGGGTTTGGGGTTTAGGGTTTAGGGTTTCATGATGGCCCTGCTCATCCGGAAGTTGCTATTGCGGGAAGCTCCGTGGCCATATTGGGAGTACATCAAGGGGAACTTTTAGGGGTACAACCTTAGGGGGTACGAGTCTTCATCCCTTGACCCTAAACCCCAGAATCCTAAACCCTAAACCCTGCAGCTCTTATAGCTGTCATATATATATGTATATATTTATTTATTTATGCTTCTCCGGGCACCTACGTAGCTCGTAGTTCTAAGGCTCAAACAAGCTGCTAACACTGTCACCCCACAAGAACCGCGGTCTTGACCCTAAACCGTAAACCCTAAACCCTAAACCTCAAGGCTCGCTCAATTGCAGCGCAAGCCCTGCAAGACCCCGGAAGAGCCTGAAACCCAAGATACAACAAAACATCTCACGTACTAGGCTGGCCCCTTACACAATGTCCCAAGAGCCTGCCTAGTCCCCCCAGGAAAAATACGAAAATAAATATTTTAAAAAAAGAGCTAAACTCTGGGGTTTAGGGTTTCGGGTTTAAGTTTTGGGGTGTACGGTTTAAGGCCCTCAGCCTCGGTCAGGTTCGGATCCGACAGCGAGGGGAAGACCGCGTTGACAAAAGAGTGGCCAGGGTCGCAAGACTGGAGGGCTTTCGGAATTTCAGGGGGTTGGAAAAATTGGCTCGGGTGTAGGGTTTAAGGACTTCGGGCTTACCCCAAGCTCAAATAGGGGTTTAAAGGCTGAGGGAGCTGAGTGAAGTGAGGGTTCGGCAATCTGAGGAATGATGGTTTACTCAGTTTACTCCTTCGGGCCCCGAACCCTAACCCCCGAAGCCCAAGCCTAAACCCAGAACCTTTGGCCCCAAACCCTGAACCCCCCAAAACCTCCCCTAACCCCCCCCTTAACCCCAAAACCCGACCCCCAAAACCTCCCCTAACCCCCCCCTTAACCCCAAAACCCGAAACCCCAAACCCTAACCCCCAAACCCCAAACCCTAACCCCCGAATCTGAAACCCTAAACCCTAAACCTGAAACCTGAAACCCTAAACCCTAAACCCTAAACCCCAGGTTCAGGGCCCAGAGGGAACGCTGCGTCGGACGGGGTGGCTGGAGGCATGAAACCCCAACCTCAAAACCCTAAAGTCCTCTTCGCGAAGTTCTAGGGTTTAGGGTTTAGGGTTTAGGGTTTAGGGTTTAGGATTTAGGGTTTTGGGTTTAGGGTTAGGGTTTAGGGTTTAGGGTTTAGGGTTTAGGGTTTAGGGTTTAGGGTTTAGGGTTTAGGGTTTAGGGTTTAGGGTTTAGGGTTTAGGGCCTAAACCCTAAAAGTCTAAATCCTAAACTCCACAGGAAAGGATGCTGCCGAGCAGCTCCCTCGAGACCCGGCGTCGTCATCTCCACGCAGAGCTTCCGGTAGAGCGGGCCGTTCCGGATAGAGAGCTCAAAGGATCTTGGGGTCTCTTGTGGGTTTAGGGTTTAGGGTTTAGGGTTGAGGGCTTAGGATCCTACATCCGAGACCCTAAACTTTTGAAGGACTTCTCGGCTTTTGGGTGCAGGATTGAAGGGGCTGAGCTTGGCGTGAACAAATTCGCACGGGGGAGGAGGTGTTTAGGGTTTAGGGTTTAGGGTTTAGGGTTTAGGGGTTTAGGGTTTAGGGTTTAGGGTTTATGGTTTAGGGTTTAGGGTTTAGGGTTTAGGATTTAGGGTTTAGGGTTTAGGGTTGTGTTTATGGTGGAAGAGTCGAGGTATGGCGGCTAAAGCCCCCTGAGTCTCCAACCCTGAAGCACAGAAGCCCGAAACTCTTGAACCCAAAACCCTTAACCCCCAAAACCCCAACTCTAAAACCCTAAACCCTCAAAGTGAAGACCCCTAAACCCTAAAACCCTGAAACCCCTAAACCCTAAACCCTACAACCTGAAACCCTGAAACCCTGAAACCCCTAAACCCTATACAGCCCTAAACCCGAAGCCTCTTAACACAGTCATATCCCAGGCGCCTTAAACCCTAAATCCTAAACCCTAAAACCCTTAAGCCTCTTAACACTAACAACCTGACAAAAAAAACCTAAAACCGCTGAACCCTGAAACCCTAAACCCAAACCCAAGCCCCTAAACCCTCTACAACCCTAAACCCTAAGCCTCTTAACCCAGTCACATCCCAGGTGCCTTAAACCCTTAACCCGAGAACGCCAAACCCTAAACCGTACCCTAACCCCGAAACCCTCAAACCCGAAACCCTTAAACCCTAAACCCCTAAATGACCCTAAAACCCCAAAACCCTAAAACCCTAAACCCCTAAATAAACCCTAAACCCCTAAATAAATCCTTAAACCCAAAAACCCTAAAACCCTAAACCCCTGAACAACCCGAAAAGCCACTAAGCCTCTTAACATCCCAGGTGCCGTATGATCGCGGCAAGCCCGGGATCTAAGAGGCCCCCTGGCGCGTCGGTCCGGTAGTACCTCAGATGTTTGGGGTGTCTTGGGGTGTGGTGAGGGTTGAGGGTTGAGGGTTGAGGGTTGAGGGTTGAGGGTTGAGGGTTTAGGGTTGAGGGTTGAGGGTTTAGGGTTGAGGGTTTAGGGTTTAGGGTTTAGGGTTTAGGGTTTAGGGTTTAGGGTTTAGGGTTGAGGGTTTAGGGTTTAGGGTTTAGGGTTTAGGGTTTAGAGCTTAAAGCCTATAGGGTGTCAAGGATTTCAAGCTTTGGGGCCCGACCTGGTGGCTTGGGGTTTAAGGTTTATATGGGGTTTGAGGCCCCTAAACCCTTAAAACCCTTCAACCCTTAAAATCCTTAAACCCTTAAATCCTTAAACTCCTAAACCCTAAACCCTAAACCCTAAACCCCTAAAACCCTAAACCCCTAAACCCCTAAACTCTGAACCCTACCAAGGGGCAGCTGCAAGTTGTGCATCTTGTACATGTCGTTGACGTCGATGGGTGGCATATAGCCCGACATCAGCCTGCCGGCTCCGAGGGACTTAAAACGGCTTAAAGGGCTTAAAGGGCTTGTAAGAGTTCACAATTTTTAGGGGCTTTAAAAGGGTAAAGGGCTTTAAGGGGCTTCAGGGCCTTGAAGGACACAAACGGAACCCTAAGAACAAGCAAAAGACTAAAGCCCGAAAATCCTACAAGCCTGAAACCCTACAAGCCACAAAGCCCCCAAAAACCCTGACTGCCCCGACTGCCCTGAAGCCCTAAAGGCCCTAAAAACCCCAAAAACCTTCATTAACGCTCTAACCAAACACCCTTCAGCCCACAAGAGCGGAAATGGGATGTTTGCCTGTCGGCCCACTTAGGTTTAGGGTTTAGGGTTTAGGGTTTAGGGTTTAGGGTTTAGGGTTTAGGGTTTAGGGTTTCGGGTTTCGGGTTTGGGGTTTAGGGTTTAGGGTTTAGGGTTTAGGGTTTAGGGTTTAGGGTTTAGGGTTTAGGGCTCTGCTAGATGGATTTGACCTGGTATGCGTGCGCGAAGCCTCAATTCTATTTCTCACGATTGGGGGGGGGGGGGGGAGGTCTGTGCCCCTAAACGGAAAGCACAAAACGGGCCCAAAACACGTGGAAAGACTCCTGGATCAGTGCCCTTGTAAATCCCTCACCTCCTCAGGGCATCAACCGCAGCCCCCCCATTCATTCAAGCTCATGAAAGAACGCTGAACTGCAGTTTGCGTGCGGAGCTTTATATGTTTTGCAAAGGCTCAGCACGATAATAATAATAACAATAATAGTAGTAACAATAATAATAAGAAGAAGAATAATAGTAATAATAGTAACAATCATAATAAAAGTAACATAATGATAATAATAATCATGATAATAATAATAAGAAGAAGAATAAGAATACACCGCAAGCCAGAGCCCAACCAAGCTCCCACAGCCATGGCAGCGGTGCTCCTGCGTGGGCCGAGGCGGCGCGCGCTGGGATCGCGCTGGTTGTACGCCTGGCTTCAGGGTGGTTTGGGGGGGTTTGCGGGTTTAGGGTTTTGGGTTTTGGGTTTTCGGGTTTAGGGTTTAGGGTTTAGGGTTTTCGGGTTTAGGGTTTAGGGTTTAGGGTTTAGGGTTTAGGGTTTAGGGTTTTCGGGTTTAGGGTGTGATGGGCTTAGGGTTGTATGGGGTTCATTATGGGCCAGTTGTGGGCTTAGGATTTTAGAGTCCGAGTCGAAGGCGCCACCGTTCAGGCGACAAGTCAGCGGAACATGTGCGGGACAGCTTTCATCTTCAAACCCTGAACCCCAAAATCCACTAGATCGGGGCGTGCCGTTGGCAAGCGCTTGAGGGCCGCCAAACCTAAGACCTTGAACCCTGACCCCCAAGCTTCGCACCCTACAGCCTAAACCCCTGAACCAGAACCCCTCAATACCTGCGACCCCCCAATCACGCCTAGCCCCGAGATCGGTGGCCAACCTGCAGGTAGGCGGCTCGGATGGCATTGGAGCGGCTATCAGCCTGTCCGCACAGATGACCCCAAAACCCAAAACCCTCAACCCTGAACCCTAAACCCTAAACCCTAAACCCTAGACCCTAAGTGTCCGAGGGTCTCCCCCTCCAGTATTTCGGGCTTCGGGCCCTTAGGGGCTTAGGGGCTGAATCCCTAAACCCTAACCCTAAACCCTAAACCCTAAACCCTAAACCCTAAACCCTAAACCCTAAACCCTAAGGCGCCTCGAGGAACACGGAGGTGTCGGTGACCACGTTGATGCCGGCCAGCTCTCGCCAGAAGACTCCGTAGGCTGCGAAGATGCCCAAGAGGACCAGCAAGCCTGGCTTAGGACTTAGGACTTAGGACTTAGGACTTAGGGTTAAGGGTTTAGGGTTTAGGGCTTAGGGTTTAGGGTTTAGGGTTTAGGGCTTAGGGGCTTAGGGGCTTAATTCGGGCTTAAGGCTTAGGGCTTAGGGCTTCGGGCTTCGGGCTTGCTTGGAGGTTCATGGTACTTCTTAGCCAATTATAGCTGTACTTATAACTGTACTCATAACCATATTAGGGCACTTAAGGGGCTTATAAGTGGGTTAGAAGTACAGTTCTTCTAGGCACCGTGGACCTCCAAGAGCATCATGTATGATGCACTCTGCTCTGCTCTGGATACCTCATGAGCCATTCTACCACACACAACAAGTTCCGAGCAAACGCGATGAAGAAGCAGGAGCGGCTTAAGCTCGACACCCCTCTTGCACCCCCCAACTACCCTTCAACCAAAATAGTACCCCCAACTACCCTTCAACCATAATAGTAGGGCATATGGGCCCTCTTTATTCTAGGGTAGTTGGGGCGTGCAGGTAAACCCTGAACCCCAGATTTTAGGCCGAGCTGCAGAAAGTCATGGGGCAGTGAGCTGTGCAGCAGGGAAAGCTGGCGCAGCATGGGCTGACGTAGCGAGGCCTCCTCGGTTGATGCTGGCTTGGGTTTGGGGCTTCATTCGGGCTTAGGCCATGGGCTTACGGCCTAAGGTGTCAGGTACCCGAAACCCTAAACCCTAAACCCCAAACCCTAAACCCCTTTTAAGGTTTCAGGTAACCCCCCCAAAGTAACTCTCTCAAGCAACCGAGGCCTTGAACCCTACAAACCTCCCCCCGACGCTGGAGCCGAGTCTCTTGGTGCCTCCGTCCTCCTCCTGCCCTTCTCTCGCCCTGGTTGCCGCAAGGTCCACCGGCCGACTCAGCACCTATGGCTTGGGATGATCCCACCTTATGCTACAACATCCTTAGTAGGGATTATAGTAGGAGGTACAGTACCATGAACCCTCATTAAGGACTGCTAGCATAAGGGGGCACATCCCAACCTAGGGCTCTCTTTCAGGCCATGTCAGATTGAGGGTTTGGGGCGCTCGGGGCCTTCGGGGCTCAGGGCCATTTGGGGGCCTTCAGGGCTTAGGGCGTTTAGGGTGTGCTTGGCTTCGCATTGAAGCCCTAAACTTTAAACCCTAAACCCTAAACTTTAAACCCTAAACCCTAAACCCTAAGGCCTTAACGCTGGGAAGGCTTATGCCTATGGCCGCCTGGGTTAGATCTGGGTTGTGCCCATTTCATTCCCCCAAATCCGTAGACCACGCCGAAAGCCCTGAAGCCCCAAAGGGTTTAGGGTTTAGGGTTTATTGAAATCATTACGTGTTCAGGTCCGGGGAAGTTTCGCGGAGTTTCGAGGAGTTTCTGTTTGGATTAACAATTTCAAGTCACAGGGGCTTGAGGGTTTAGGGTTTAGGGATTAGGGTTTAGAGTTTAGGGTTTAGGTTTAGGGTTTAGGTTTAGGGTTTAGGGTTCAGGCCCCAACTCTAACCCTAAACAAACCTTGAAAGCCCTGAAGTCTAAGGTCTATCAGCCCTCGACCACTCACAGGCTAAAACTAGCAGAACTTCACACAAACTCTAACAAAACCTGAAAAGCCGGAACATCCTGAAAACCCCAAGAAATTGCCGAAGACCACGAAGCAAAGCTGAAAGCCCTTAAAACCAAAAACCCTGAATCCCGAACCTCCTTTGCTTATGGGCACCGGCTTGGCAACAATCTCCGTGTCAGTGCCCACCCATTGCGGCGGGACACTCGGCGAAGGCTCCTCTGCGCTGGATCGACTCCACTTTGGGGTTTAGGGTTTAGGGTTTAGGGTTTAGAGTTTAGGGTTAGGGTCTTGGGGGTTGGAGTGGTTGGGGGGGGGGGGAGGGGGGGGGGGGGGGGAGGGGGGGGGGGGGGAGGGGGGGGGGGAGGGGGGGGGGGGGGGGAGGGGGGGGGGGGAAAAGGGGGAAAGGAAGGGGGGGGGGGGGGTGGGGGGGGAGGGGGCGGGGGGGGAGGGGGGGGGGGGAGGAGGGGGGGGGGGGAGGGGTGGGTTTTTGGGGCTTTAGCGTTCAGAGTCAAGGGTTTACGGCTTAGGGTTTGGGATGTAGAGTTGATGTGGCCCGGAGGTTGTCAAACGAAGACCCAACCGCCCCTTGCCACAACAGGCCCTGGAACGCACCCGGACCCAAAAGAAATGGGGGGCACCAGTTTGGAGGCTCCTAGAATTCTTGGCATGCATAAGGGGTATCCCCGCTCTCAAACAAGACCAAAGCAAGAAAGAAAGAATTCAAAAGAGAGAGAGAGAGAGATAAAAAAAAATGAAAGCATTGGCATGATGTCTCCCGAAGCCTTTCTCTCAGATCGCAGGGCAGACGCAGCCACTGAAGATTGACTTTGGCCACCCGGGCCCCAACCCTAGCGAAGACCTCTGGCTGCTCTGCAACAAGGCGCACAATGAGTGGGGGTTCTTTGCGATGGCGCCCAACCGTCTAGTTGTGAGTGGGAATTCGGGAACAAGCTCTGCAGAATCGCAAGCACGTGCTGGGAAGTCCTGGCTGGTGAGTTCGGAATAGAAACGACACCCTCGCACCCAGCGATGTTCTTACCGAGGGTTACCGCAAAATCCGCCTAAACCCTAAACCCTAAACCTTAAACTCTAAACCCTAAACCCTGAACTCTTTGCCACCTAAGCCCGAAACCCTTCGTCGGCGTCCTTCGTCCCTGGGCTCACATTGGCCTCCGAGATGGGAGAGGGGGCAGCATCCTCGCCGTCCTCTGGGGCTAGGGTTTAGGGTTTAGGGTTTAGGGTTTAGGGTTTAGGGTCTAGGGATTAGGGATGAGGGAGGATAGGGTGCCCTGGAGTGGTCCCAGAGTCCAGAGCCGTAAACAAAAGTAGATCCCGAAGCCGTGTTCTGCGGCTTCAACTCTGAGGTATATGGTCCGTTCTCTAAGTGACGGCGCCTCTTGGGGTTATTACTATAAGGCGGCCCCTAATATCCAATACCCCTAAACCCTAAACCCTAAACCCTAAACCCTACCCTAAACCCAAAAAGGGACCATGCTTGAGGAGTGCACATGACTCCGAACAAGTTGGAGCTCAGGCGTTTCAAGGTGTGGCGATTGGGGACATGGCGGGCCCTCACCATATGGGTTATGGGTTTAGGGTTTAGGGTTTAGGTTTAGGGTTTAGGGTTTAGGGTTTAGGGTTGAGGGTTGAGGGCTGAGGGTTTAGGGTAGGGTTTAGGGTTTAGGGTTTAGGGTTTAGGGTTTAGGGTTTAGGGTTTAGGGTTTAGGGTTGAGGGTTTAGGGTTTAGGGTTTAGGGTTTAGGGTTTAGGGTTTAAGTTCATCCCCTGGCATTGGGAAGCCGAATTCCGCGTTTGGAGGTTAGGAGGTTTAGGGTTTTAGGGTTTTAGGGCTTTAGGGTTTTAGGGCTTTAGGGTTTTAGGGCTTAAGGGTTTTAGGTGCTTAGGGTTTTAGGGTTTTAGGGTTTTAGGGTTGACTGCCCAAAAAGCCCCAAAGCTTTCGGAGCACACAGCTGAACGCTCCGAAGACCCTGAGCCATCAGCTCAAAAATGGTTTGGGTTTAGGGCTTAGGGCTTAGGGTTTAGGGTTTAGGGTTTAGGGTTTAGGGTTTAAGGTTTAGGGTTTGGGGTTTAGGGTTTAGGGTTTAGGGTTTAGGGTTCCCTACCCCCCTGAAGCCGCCTAGTTGGGGCTTAGAGGGTTTTGGATTCAATGACACTGGTTTGAAATCTCTACCCATGCCGCTCAACGTCCTTCTGGGTGTCATGGCCTTCGGCGTGGCTCACCGTGCAAGGCCCTTCGGCGTTCAGCTGATCTGATGGGTCCTGGACCCCAACTTGTTGAGGGTTTTTTTGGGGGGGGGCTGGGGGTGGGTGCGGAACCCCAAATCCGGGTTGGGTGGTTTGGGTTGAAGTCCCCCAGCTATCCGAGCTACTCAAAGTCAAAAACGAAAGACCGAACCGACCACGCGCGGGCATTGATACACACCCTAAGCATTAAACCCTAACCCTAAACCCTAAACCCTAAACCCTAAACCTTGAATCCTCGAGGTGCTGAGTCTGGGAGTGCCTAGATTCTTTGGATTCGTTGGGGGGTTTTGGGGCTTTGGGGCTTCAAGGCGCTTGACCTTTAGGGCTCTTGGGCTCTTTTGGGTTTAGTGTGGTTCAGGGCTTCAGGGCTTTAAGTGCTTGGGGATCAAGGTCTCTGAGCTGTCCCTAAACCCTAAACCCCAACCCTAAACCCTAAAAGCCTAAACCCCTTGTGGACCCCAGTTTTTGGGGTGCTGGGTGGTCCTCCGACCATATCTCGATCACCGCCTCTCCTCGAGAGGGCTCGCTGGGTGTGGCTGGTGGCTGCTGTACCTCAGCCATCGACTGAACCCACAACCCTAAACCCTAAATCCTAAAGCCTAAACCCTAAACCCTAAACCATCGCAAGCATGCCCCGACACCTACATCTAAAGCCCAAGACCCTCAACCCCGGGTGCCCCCCCCCCCCCCCCACCTTCGAGCCCTGAACCTCTCAAATCCCAAGCGCCCCAAACACCCCAAGGGCCCTCAACCCCAAGCACCCCCCAACCCTCAGCCCCAAACCCAGCTGGCGTGCAGCTGGTGTGCAGGGGTTCCCCCGGATGAGCTCGAGGGCTCTGAGTCCCCCAAGCGCATGGGCACCGGCAGAGGCTCCTCGGAGTACCTCGCAGCCAAGAGGCCGGGGCCTAAGGCGACTGGGGGGGAATTTGGGAGACTCAGGGTCTCTTGGGGCTTCCCTCCTTCTCCTCATCTTCCTCCTGATCCCCTTGATGCATCTCATCCTTCCCTTCCTTTCCATTGCAGGCCTCTCACCACCTGCGGTTTAGGGCTTAGCGTTTAGGGATGCCGGCTCTCCACACCTGAGAAGGAGATGTGGCATCCATTACAAGGGTGGGGTCACCACAAAAAAGTAAAGTCACTTAGCCGTGATTTCAGCAGCATATATGGTAGAACGCGTGGGCTAAAGTCCCAGAAGGTTTTGGGTCCAAACCCTCAACCCCTAAACCTTGAACCCAAAACTTCCCAACACCCAAAGTTCGCCAGGGTTTAGGGTTTAGGGTTGAGGGTTGAGGGTTGAGGGTTTAGGGCTTAGGGTTTAGGGTTTAGGGCAGACCCGAAACCCTAAGCCCCAACCAAAGCCCGAAAAATCACTCGTCACGAACCACAAGCCCTGACCTGAACCCAAGGGCCCCCCCTAAACCACCTAAACCCTAAACCCTAAACCTAAAAAGCCCTCCCCCAAGGCGCGGAGAGAGGCTGGCCAGCGGCAGCAGCGGGATCTCCGCCGCCACTTCGTGGGGGGAGGCGGTGACCGTCTCGCAAAGCTCGGAGGGCTCCTCTCCGCTTTAGGGGCTCAGGGTTTAGGGTTTAGGGTTTAGGGTTTAGGGTTTAGGGTTTAGGGTTTAGGGTTTAGGGTTTAGGGTTGTGGGTTTTCCAGGGCTTGTAGGGGTTGATAGGGGCTTTAGGGTCTATAGGGCTCAGAGGGTTGGACAGGATTTTATGGAGCTTCTACGGGTTTCTCGTGTGCAGGGTTTATAGGGTTTGTAGGGTTTCTAGGGCGTATGGGGTTCATATACGGGTTTAGAAGGGTTCATGAGGGTTTATAAGGGTTTGTAATGAGTGGCTTAAACTTAGGGTTTTTAGGGCTTATGGTTTGGGTTTAGCGGTTTAAGGTTTAGGGGTAGGGGGTTAAGGTTTAGTAGTTTAGTGGCTTCCGGTCTGGGCTACGTAGGGGTTTGGGTTCAGGACCTGGGGTGTGGGGTGTGTGCTGTGGTGTTGGACAAGGTGTTGTCGGCAAGCCAAGCGTCCTCGGACTCTTCGAGGCTTGGCCCCTGCGAGTCCCTCGCCGGGCTGCGGCTCTGGTCCTGTGCACCCCCGAAACATAGGGTTTAGGGGTTTAGGGGCTTAGGGGTTTCGGGGGTTAGGGTTTAGGGTTTAGGGATTGGGGTTTAGGGTTTCGGGGCTTAAGGGTTTAGGGGCTGAAAGGGCTAGCTGATACTCATGATGCTAGCTTCGCTGAAAGGGCCACGCGATGATGCTAATGATGATGGCTTGGCCAAACGGCTGCTGAAAGCACGAACTAATGCTCATATTCCTGGCTTGGCCGGGGCGGCTGCTGAAAGGGCCGCGGGCTGATGCTCATGATGCTGGCTTGGCCGGGGCGGCTGCTGAAAGGGCCACGCGCTGTACTCATGATGCTGGCTTGGCCGGGGCGTGCTGCTGAAAGGGCCGCGGGCTGATGCTCATGATGCTGGCTTGGCCGGGGCGGCTGCTGAAAGGGCCGCGGGCTGATGCTGATGATGCTGGCTTGGCCAGGGCGACTGCTGAAAGGGCCGCGGGCTGATGCTCATGATGCTGGCTTGGCCAGGGCGGCTGCTGAAAGGGCCACGAGTGCTGGCTTGGCCGGGGCGGCTGCTGGCTGATGCTGATGATGCTGGCTTGGCCGGGGCGTGCTGCTGAAAGGGCCGCGGGCTGATGCTGATGATGCTGGCTTGGGCGGGGCGTGCTGCTGAAAGGCCCGCAGGCTGATGCTCATGATGCTGGCTTGGCCGGGGTGGCTGCTGAAAGGGCCGTGGGCTGATGCTCATGATGCTGGCTTGGCCGGGGGTGGCTGCTGAAAGGGCCGCAGGCTGATGCTCATGATACTGGCTTGGCCAGGGCGGCTGCTGAAAGGGCCACGCGCTGATGCTGATGATGCTGGCTTGGCCGGGGTGGCTGCTGAAAGGGCCGCGGGCTGATGCTAATGATGCTGGCTTGGCCGGGGCGGCTGCTGAAAGGGCCGCGGGCTGATGCTCATGATGCTGGCTTGGCCGGGGCGGCTGCTGAAAGGGCCGCGGGCTGATGCTCATGATGCTGGCTTGGGCGGGGCGTGCTGCTGACAGGGCCGCAGGCTGATGCTAATGATGGTGGCTTGGCCGGGCGGCTGCTGAAAGGGCCGCGTGCTGATGCTGATGATGCTGGCTTGGCCGGGGTGGCTGCTGAAAGGGCCGCGGGCTGATGCTAATGATGCTGGCTTGGCCGGGGCGGCTGCCGAAAGGGCCACGCCCCAATGCTCATGATGCTGGCTTGGCCGGGGTGGCTGCTGAAAGGGCCGCGGGCTGATGCTCATGATGCTGGCTTGGCCGGGGCGGCTGCTGAAAGGGCCGCGGGCTGATGCTCATGATGCTGGCTTGGCCGGGGCGGCTGCTGAAAGGGCCACGGGCTGATGCTAATGATGCTGGCTTGGCCGGGGCGGCTGCCGAAAGGGCCACGCCCCAATGCTCATGATGCTGGCTTGGCCGGGGTGGCTGCTGAAAGGGCCGCGGGCTGATGCTCATGATGCTGGCTTGGCCGGGGCGGCTGCTGAAAGGGCCGCGGGCTGATGCTCATGATGCTGGCTTGGCCGGGGCGGCTGCTGAAAGGGCCACGTGCTCATGCTAATGATGCTGGCTTGGCCGGGGCGGCTGCTGAAAGGGCCGCGGGCTGATGCTCATGATGCTGGCTTGGCCGGGGCGGCTGCTGAAAGGGCCGCGTTGGCCGGGGCGACTGCTGAAAGGGCCTCGGGCTGATGCTCATGATGCTGGCTTGGCCAGGGCGGCTGCTGAAAGGGCCACGCGCTGATGCTAATGATGCTGGCTTGGCCGGGGCGGCTGCTGAAAGGGCCGCGTGCTGATGCTCATGATGCTGGCTTGGCCGGGGCGACTGCTGAAAGGGCCGCGGGCTGATGCTCATGATGCTGGCTTGGCCAGGGCGGCTGCTGAAAGGGCCACGCGCTGATGCTAATGATGCTGGCTTGGCCGGGGCGGCTGCTGAAAGGGCCGCGGGCTGATGCTCATGATGCTTAGGGGTTTACGAATTTAGGGTTGGGGGCCTCGGGGTTTAGGGGTTTAGGTGCTTAGGGGTTGCGGGGTTTAGGGTTTAGGCCTGTATGGCTCGATCGGATTTCAGGATATTTTTAGGGTTGCGGATTTAAGGTACTTTTGCTTAGGATATCGGAACATGAAATGGACATCAGCTATGAGAAGCATCTGCAGACAAGCACTAATTACTTAATGAGATGCATCTGGAGAATCGGCATTGGTCATGATAAAACCTGATAATGTTGGGACTATTGAACACAAAAAGCTGATAGTCTTACTGATAACGATTCGAATTAACCATGGCAGTCGGAAGGAGAAGGGGAATCCCCCCACACCCACGGTCCCTCGAAGGCACAGCCCTCTCGAATCCTGAATCCAGTCTACAGCGCACGGTGGTGCTTAGGGTTTGGGGTTGGGGGGGTTTGGGGTTTGAGGTTTGGGGTTTGGGCTTTGGGGTTTGGGGTTTAAGGTTTGGGGTTTGGGGTTTGGGGTTTGGAGTGCTTAGGTTGTGTAGGTTGCTCAGGGGTTTTAGGGTGTTTTTGCAGCCCGAACCCTCCACAAGGGATCCTGAACCCGAAGCTCTTTCCTCCCAAGGGCAACTCCTGCCTGAACCCTAAACCTCTAAACGCCCGAACTCCTCTGAGCCACCCCAAACTCCTAAACTCCCCAACTGCCCAAACCCCGGAAGCAACCCTGGACCTTACTCTAAACAAACTCTAAACCCTAAACCCTAAACCCTAAACCCTAAACCCTGAACCCCCCTAAGCGTCCTTGGGGCGCCGCAGGCGCCTGCGACGTTCGGCTGGCGCCTCCTCCTGCAAAGATCTCTGCGAAAGAGGTTTAGGGTTTAGGGTTTAGGGTTTAGGGTTTCGGGTTTCGGGTTTAGGGTTTAGGGTTTAGGGTTTAGGCTTTAGGCTTTAAGGTTTAAGGTTTAGGGTTCAGGGATAAGGGTTGAGGGTTTAGGGGCTCAGGCTTGTGAGGGACTCAGTGATTGGGGGCTTGGGGGTTGAGGGAAGGTCTGAAACCTCTCAACCCCAAACCTACGTAAGCTTTTCACCCAAACACCCGAGCAACCAAGAATCAAAACCCCAAAGGCCCAGCTAAACACGCCGAAAGCCCGAACCCTTTACACCCTAAACCCGAAACCCGAAACCCTAAACCCTAAACCCTAAACCCTAAACCCTAAACCCTAAACCCTAAACCCTAAACCCTAAACCCAACTTCCCCGTCAATTCCTCGCCATCATCGTGCCGGCCAAGACGGCGCCGCGTAAGGGGCTCCATGCCGGCGGCCCCATGGGGCGATTCCCAGTGGCTCAGATTTGTGGGGGGTTTCAGGGGGGGTTTCGGGTTTCGGGTTTAAGGTTTAGGGTTTAGGGTTTAGGGTTTAGGGTTTAGGGTTTCGGGTTTCGGGTTTAAGGTTTAGGGTTTAGGGTTTAGGGTTTAGGGTTTAGGGTTTAGGGTATAGGGTTTGGGGTTTAGGGTTTAGGGTTTAGGGTTTAGGGTTTAGGGTTTAGGGTTGAGTCAGCTGGTTGCTTTGTTGGCCCTCGAGGTGATCTTCACAACGCTGTTCAGAGGCAGCGGCGGGGCAGGATGCAAATCCGAGCTCTTGTCGGGTCGTCTGGAAACAAACCAAAGGGTTTAGGGTTTAGGGGTTAGGGTTTAGGGTTTAGAAGTTTAGGGGTTTAGGGTTGAGGGTTTTGGGTTTAGGGTTTAGGGTTTAGGGTTTAGGGGGCTTCCTGGTACTCCAGCTATTCTCATCGATCGTTCCATCACTACCGACATCCATTCTTTCAACGAACTCTGCAGACCCCAGGCGAAATCCTGAACATCAATTCACCCAAGCAACGCCCAACCAACCCTAGCCTTAAAAAAAACAAAACTGCAACCCAGACAGCCCCTCTCGGGCATGCAAGGTTTAGGGCAGTTTAGGGTCTT